AACGAAATTCGTGCAGGTACGTCATAAGTCATGGTTCAAAAATTAAGATGTGACAGGAAATCTACAGTGTTGCAAACTGAGATGCGTGGTTTCTTAGTTCTACTGTCGATTCATGAACGTGTCTAATGTGCACAGAAAAAATTAAATTGCTGATTTAACAATTAAATTGCTGAAACAAGTGACTGCAATATTTTAACGTAGATGTTACAACAAAAAAATGTTACTTTAACCACTATTGTAAACTAATTTATCCACGGGGGTGATTAAAGTAGCATTTTTTTGTTGTAAAATCTACATCGAAACATTGCAGTCACTGTTTTTAGCAATTTAAATTTTTCTGTGTGCTCGATTCATCTCTGCTGAATCCAATATAAACAGGGTTTTTCTTTCTACAGTCTGTCAACCATGGAAGCGGATCTGGAAGAGCCAAGGCTGCGGTCCGCTTTTAGCGCGAAGAAAAACAGGGAATTTTAAGACGGGGAAGGGTGGAATGATAGAAGGAGCGCAGTGAGGGAGTAGGATAGGATGGCGAAAGTTGCGCGGCAAGGGGAGGGGGTAGGAGAATAAGACGAATGGGTTTGACTTTTCTTTCCCTCTTTTTTCTTATTTTTTCGAGGAAAGTTAAAGACAATACCCTCGACTTCGGAACGGGTTTCGCTTTGCTTCCCAGTCTGGCTGTTTCAACGAACTCCCAAAGTTGACGCTGTTTATTTTTAGTTGTACACTGAAAAAAAATTCTCGGCGTTTTTACCAAGGTCCGTTGTTACCTTTACCATCTCACTTTTTTACCAATTATTGGTAATTTTACCAAGACAGACTGGTAAGCTTACCTAAAAACCGGTATTTTTACTGTTTTTTTTTCAGGTAAGAATACCACTTTTATTGGTAATCAATTCCCGATAACTTTGCCATTTTATCTCGGTAATTCTACCACAGTCGATAAAAAATATTGGCGTTTTTACCAAGATTCAGTAAAATTACCGAGAAAATTCAATAATTTTACTAAGATTTCTCGGTAAAATTACCAATTCCATAAATGGTTATTTTATCAAGAAAAAACTGGGATCAAATAGAACCCTGAATTCTTGGTAATTTTACCCTTTTCTCAGTAAATACACCGAGATTTTTTTTTTCAGTGTAGGTGCAATGGATTCTTCGATACATTTTAAGTGTATAGGAAGGGTAGGGCCATTTGCAGCCTTTTAGTATAGGAGTGATGCGCCGCTTTTTGATATGGGTCTTTTAATTTTAGGCTACCATGAAGCTCTTCCGGCCGTAAGTAAACAAACGTTCCCATTGCTTGATACGATTCCGAAAATTTATGCTAACCCTCTAAGAACAATACTCAAGAAAATACTCTAGGAGCACCGAAACCAACCCACACGCTTTCTATATCAATGGCCTTATCAATCACGACTTTTTTCAAATTATCATTTTAATATGATATGTTAAATTTAGTTCTCTTTTTTAAATTACGTTCTTTCATCACATATTTCGTGATTCTTCAATCAATCCTACGTAAGAGGGAATGCAACGGTAGTGCGCAAAGTCGCCTTCTGGTTCAACAATAAAACATGGTTCGCCTTCAAACAATAAAACCTAAAATGCCAATAGTTATCATAGCATAAATTATACCCAACCTTTCAAATACCTCAAGTTTCCCAGCTTCACTACTTTACATGAGGTTGTAAGATCACTATTTCAGCTTAATTTTCGCGATCAATAAAAAAGGGACTAGCTAATATTGCCTAAGCCACTAACGAGAACTCCTAACGAGAGTCCCTTGATAGGGGCGATAGTCAAGGCGATAGGCCAAAGAAGACAAAAAATAAATAGAGCGATCCTATTGGTGGAAACGAGCGGGTGGTTACAATGGACGAAGAAGGTCAGTCTAACTATCAACAACCCATGAGAGACCCATGTTAATCCATCATTTTCCCCCACGGCTTTTTGTCTACATCGATCACCTTTTCAACCATAAGGATCGCTCCATTTTCTCATCGTCTTTTTTGTCTATTGCTGTCTCCATGGCCGGATTCACCTACTTGCCGCTCATGGGCCGCCTGTATTTTGCCGCCCTCTTCTCATTCGTTATGAAACTCGATAAAAACCATCAAATGAACGTGTCGGCGGGGGAGGGGTTCATAAGATGCATTTACTCGTCTTGAACACATTTTTTGGGAAAGCCCTGTCAACACTACTAGCAAAAGTTCATGGAACTTTGCGCAAAACTTAAGTTCCGTAAACCTATCTCTGTGTGGACAAGGCCTTCCATTCATAAGAAATGAACGAAAAAATTATGAAGGAACAAACATAGATGAGGATCAATGATTTTAACTTCCGCCGCCGCGCCGCGCATACCGCACTGTGTTTGGCGCAATGCGTGAAGTATTCACGCAGTCTTGTAGGCGCTATGCGTTTCACGCTGACCGCAATGACCGCACTGTGTTTGACGCAATGCGTGAAGTATTCGTGAAGTCTTGTAGGCGCTAATATGTGTTACATGCCGATCGCCGCGCCGAGGGCTCCTCCTTTTCATCTCAAGTCCTCGTTATCATTTCTCTCTAAGTCGCGCCATTCCAGGCCAAATTGCGTGTTCGGTATCTCTCTTAACTCTACTTATTCAAGGTGCTGTCTCTTGTATCACTAAGAGACGACAAAATTAGAAATTAGTATACTCTCAGGAAATGAATGATTTTGTCGCCTTTTCTCGTTTGTGATTTTGTTTTTATAAAACCGATTTTTCTATACCTACACTTTAAAAAATTTCAAATTTTTGTCGCTCCTTAGATTTGCCGCCATGGGCCGCGGCCCATGTGGCCACCCCCTTAATCCAGCCCTGGCTGTCTCTACCAATTTCAATAATATGCCCATTATCACTAAGAGGTCTCTATTTGTTTCTGTGCGGAACCTACAGTCCAAGATGTATTCCACGTCGTTCGGCAACGCCGATGACGTCACCAGAAAAAAATGGATGCATCTTATTTCGTTCTTCCACAGCTACATCCAGAGTTGAGCACTTTTCGGGTGTCTTCGGGAAACTTTATTGTTTGCGGATTTACCTCGAAATTGTGAAGTCAAACGAGGAGTAATCGAGACGAGGGCGGGGCGCCTGGAAAAAAGTTCGAAGAGCGGGAATCGAGAGGGAGGGAGGAGGGTTGAGAAAAGGGTGACATAATGAGTGGCCTCTCTGTCAACTAAGGGCGTGGTTCGCTCATCCAGTCACAAGCTCAGAGCACCCACGTACTGAACACTAAATACTGAACGGAGAAAGCTCTATGCCCCGTGTTTTTCGTGGTGAGGTTACGAGCGGGGCGCACTGAGTGAGAAAAATCAATCTATACTCAAACCTCTCGATACTAGAGTCCCTTTATACTGAGAGTTAAGATAACACCCCCTCATGGACAGGGTGGCATGAAACGTAAAAAAGAAATGAAAGATTTGAAATTTCAGTGAATTATTTCATGAAATTTCACGAGGCTGTGAAATATTTCATATTTTTCAGGGGTCAGAGTATGCAACCCGCATTCAAACACCCAAAAATAGAAGAAAATCACGATTTTCACAACCTTCGAAACATAAAAAGGAACTTGTATTTTTCAATATCTTTCATAAATTTCTGAAATTTCATGAAATATTTCACGTGAAATTTCAAGATTTTATTTTTCATGAAATTTTGTCAGTCTGCTCATGGAGTCACAAACGGGAATAAAGATTAGACAAATTGAACGTTTTTCGTAATCTTTGATCGGCTCATTCTCAAATTCCTTTCTCTAATTTCGTTTGTTCCTTGTCGAGCCCGTAATTCCTCGGTCCATTGCAGATTGTAATCTTTGCAATTGGTGAAAATGTAATCTTTATTCTCGTTTGTGACACTGTTGAGGCCTAAAATACGGTAACCAATCAGAAATGGATTTCTCATTGTCTTAACTCTCAGTATTAAGGGACTCTATCGACACTAACACTGGAAAAGATGTGTGATTAAAGAGGAGAGCTCAGGCAGAGTAGACGTCGCTCTACGACAAATGAATGTATCTACAAAGAGCGGAATATTCGAGAGAAAGTATCCAGTTAAGTATACGAATGGCCTGTATCAATAGTTAAGTATGGAAAATACGTGACCCCGATTGTGACGTTAAAAATTGCTTACCCCGCGTGTTTCAATTCTTTTCAAGAAAACTCCTAAAAAATTTTCTTGACATTTTCCGTGGATTTTTTCATGTTCCCAAAATCAGGCTATCTGCAACCGAGTTAAAAAATTGCAAGCGGCAAACACACACACAGCTGTCAAGTGCCCATTGTAAATTGGGCCGTTTGGGTTGCGGTTGTTTGTGCCGATGCACGAAGATCGAACCCGTAATTCCTCGGTCCATTCCAGATTATAATCTTTGCAATCGGTGAAAGTGCAATCTTTATTCGTGTTTGTGACACACTGGAAAAAAACATGTTGGATCTAGAGTCCAAACCCTTGAAAACATTGACAAGAAAAAGGACTCTTGATTCAATCAGATTTAAGCTTAAATCAAAAGGAAATCCGCTCAAATTAAGAGGCTTGGTTCTTGATTTAAGCTTAAATCTGATTGAATCAAGAGTACTTTTTCTTGTCGATGTTTTTAAGAGTCTATGGACTCTAGATCAATTGTGTTTTTTTTTTCAATGTGTTTTCGCTGACATCGCGATCGCTTGCAAGCGAAATGTAAACAAGTGCCAACTTAACTGACGGCGCACAGTGGATCGAGTTAATTAGAGAGGTCAGACATGAAATTTTTAACTGAAACTTCAAATTTTGATGTTTATTTCGTCACATTATAAATTTCAATGGGTGCTTTAAGAAGAAAATTTTACGAGGAGTCCTATGGAACCACTTTAAGAACCTCAAAATTTTGTATAAACGGAGTTATAAGCGTTTAAAGTTGTCAAATTTTGTCCGACCTCTCCTATTGACTCGATCCACTGTGCGGCGCCTCTAGGAAAATGCATATTGACAACTGGCGACTTACAAGACAGGCGCTTATCGGCAGCAAGGTCCTCCTGCAGGAGATCCAGGTGGTGATGTCCGAGGGTGGAGGAGGCGGGGGAGGAGGGCCTCGGGGCGGCGGACGGGAGGTCGGAGAAGGCGGAGGAGGGCGTGGAGGGGTAGCGGCGGTCCTGGAGGGCGGCTTTGGCCTTCTCGGAGAAGTGCTTGAGCTGCTCGAAGGTGGAGGAGTTGCAGGCGAGGCGGTAGGCGGCGCAGCCGGCCCAGTCGGGAGGCCCCACGCCGACCCCGAGCATGTCCGGACTCTCGGTCTTGATCGCCGTCCGCTTGAGCTCGAACGCCGCTGCCGCCGCCGCCGCTGCCGCCGACTGGTACGAGCAGGACGACTCGTACATCCCAACCCTGCAGGGTCCTCGTCCAAGGGCCCGCGAGCTTCACGCCTGCAACATGAGGAAACACACATGATGAATTTTCAAAATAAAAGTAAAAAAAAAACGTGTCTCCACAAGAATGCGGGGGAAAGGGTTAGGCCTTGTTAGAGTCCCTTTATGCTGAGAGTCAAGACAATGTGAATCCATTGCTGATTGGTTCCCGTATTTTAGGTCTTCACAGTGTCACAAACGGGTGAACTTCAGCGTAGGGACCCCGGCTCGAGCCCGGTATAGCTAGGAACCCCAGCTCAAGAGAGCTGAAGCCAGGCCCGCGCGCTCTCGGTAGTTTTCCATCTATTTAAAGTAAAGTAGGGATTAAGGCCCGAACATATTTCAGCAGATCAGATCATTTTGTCACATCTTCTCCAATAATCGTTCAGTTCATAAACTAAAAGTATCCTCGTATTCAGCCACTCTGTATTTTCCACTTAAACACGAAATTCGTCAAATTTCAGACACCTGCAAACCCTCTGATCGAATCAGGCATCTCAACAGCACCCATAATCAACGTGCGATACAGGGTCGGTGGAAATTCACCTACATGAAATACATTAACTGCACTGAAAAAAATACCCGGGGAGAGTTGCCGAAAATCCCGGCAAAAGGAGCCGAGTCTCCCGTGCTCAAACGGAAGACCGTAGAGGCACGGTGACGGCCGCCGGGTTGACTCGGAAATTTAAATCCCGTATCCCCTCGGTCAATCACCCCGAGAATCCCGGGGAAAGAACCCGGGTTGATTCGGCGAAAGAGGCCGAAATGACTCGGTAAACTGCGCCGTCGCAGTCGGCAAGCGCACCCGGGTTTTCCCGGGCCCAGCTTTTAGGTGCGAGTATGCACCGCGTAGGGGGAGGGGTGTGGGGGGGGCGCAATGGTCCCTCTCCCCGCAACCCAGCTCCTCACCTACTCCCGAAATTCTGCGGGAGGGGGAGGGGAGACATTCCTCCCCCCGGACGCATGCACTATGCGTCCCTCCCCTGCAACCCTTCACCTATCCACCTCGCTGCCCGAGTAGACCTCCCTTCCCCCTCTTGAATAGAAGCTCTCCTCCTCCCCCTAGAGAATTGATACCCGCCCCCCCCCCACAGTGAAAATTTTTTAGCCCCCCTGTCCAATCCCTCACTAGAATGGAAGCTCCTTTCGTTTAAATGCAAAACCTTATAAGCTGTACAATTAAAAGCACAAAAGGAGACAATAGGTATAGCTTTTGAAAGTTGTTAGCGTCCGTTCTAATTAATAGTCGATTTTATCTAACAGAAGTAAGACTTGGTTTTCTTTAATTTTTTTTTTGTTTTTTTTTTATGTTTACATAAAACAGGAGCACTTACTTTGAAAAACCAAAAAAAATGAATATTTTTAAAGGAACACCATCCGGTGTGTTAATGACAAAATAAAAATATCCCTCGGGATGTTTTGAAACGTAAAAACTAGATCCTTTAGCATAGGAAAGAGAATCGTCTGAAAATATTAATAAAGTATTAGTTCTGTTTATTAAACTAAGTTGATCATAGGTATGTTTAAGAGATTGTAATCTATTTTCATTTTCTTTGGCAACTGAGAAAAATTCATAATAAATGATATCAATTTGTTAGATGAGTTTTCGCGGCTTGTGTCAAATGACTCACAGTTGCATTACAACGATGCAAAATTTTATTCTTCGGAAGTGAAAACAAACAAAAATTAATTCTTGAAATTATAAGCAAGTTTTGTATGAACAAGGAGGAAAATATCAATAAACAATTTGGGAAACAATGCTCGTATTAGTTCCTTTCATGTAAATTAGAGTGAGAGCTCAAAGTATATACCTAATGTTGCGATGCAAATTAGTGTTTTCAAGTCATCAATACTAAAAAAGTAATTCTATCTTTATTCCTTTGAGTGTAATTCTTTCTGTTAAATATGATAAAAAGATTGAGAAACATTACAATTACATTAAAAGGTAAATACCGGAATAGTTATTTTTTTAATGTTTAATCAGATTGAAATCAAGATAAATACGCCGTATAGTTATAAAGAATTATTTTTTAATTTATAAATCAAGTTGAAACACGAACCTATAGACACATTTCACGCCACGTGCTCCCTTAAATCACCCCAGGTAAGAGAATATGAATAATATAGAAATACACAGAAAAAAACTGCGAAGCAGTCAGTTTTAATAAATGATTCACTAAAAATCTGCAATTCACACTGCGCGATGAAAAATTCCCGGGACGGTATTGACTCTAAAGAGACGTGAAAACATAGAATAATAAAGCTAACGCTAAGCGGCGTAGCCTTATTATTCTATGGTGAAAATGACTGAATGATGGAGTCGGAACTCAGAAGAATGTGCCGGGGTTGCTTCGGGATTTCGAGACTGGACAAGACATGAGGAGGGGGAAGGGTGAAGGGCTAGCGCGAACTAGACGGGTGTGAGTTGTGACTTGCCACATTCTACTCCTTACAGTAAAGAAGGCTGATTGAGTGGGCTGATTTTTAGCACAGTCTGGCAACCTTGACGCTTTCTCTTTTAAGAGCTGTGCCGCGCCGCGCCGTGCGAAGGGATGCGAATTCGAGGAACTCGACTCGGCCTGTTCCAACACGTGTGCACCCCAGTGTTGGTGCGGGCCGAGGCCCGATGGAAAAACCCAGGTTTCCGGGCTCCTCGGAGTCTGTCCCCGACTAGCCCGGCTGGAGCTCCCGGGCCGCCCGGAATCGGATGGCCCGGACGTTATGGTAATTTGGTCCGGGCTCGACTCGGTCTCACACCCCGTGAAGCTCGGATGAAGTCCCCGAGTTTTTCGGCGATAAGGCACGACTTTTACGGGAATGATGATCCCGGACTGACTCGGTTCCAACGCCGGACTCATTTTTTTCAGTGTGGAGAGGTGGATTTCCGCATGGAATCTGAACGAACGGGACGTGGAAGATCCCTGTCGGGACCATCACGAAGCGAGTCAAGCTCACCCGCGCTTCCCTCGCGACGGCGACTTGTTAAATTCGCATACTGTTATGCGATACTACCTTTTTATTGCCGCGGAGCGTGCCGGCCCTCCCTCCGCGAGTCCCAGTTTTCGGCCCATCATCCCGTTCCTGCGTTCTCCTTTTATTTATTAATGTTTTTTTCGCTCTTCGCCTCCCCTTAAATCTCTTTGTTGGTTTGTCATTGAACCGAGCGACGCTCCGCTGTTAGCTCTGGTTTGTTTTTTTATGGCGAGAGGAGAATTCTCAGTTATTTGAGATTTCCAGGGTGCTTAAACGTGATGGAGTCAGGCAAGAGGACCCTTCACTGAAAAAAAAATCTCGGTGTATTTACTAGGAAAAGGGTAAAATTACCAAGAATTTAGGGTTCTATTTGATCCCAGTTTTTTCTTGGTGAAATGATCATTATGGAATTGGTAATTTTACCGAGAAATCTCGGTAAAATTATTGAACTTTCTCGGTAATTTTACTGGACCTTGGTAAAAACGCCAATATTTTTTATCGACTGTGGTAGAATTACCGAGATAAAATGGCAAAGTTACCGGGAATTGATTACCAATAAAAGTGGTATTCTTACCTGAAAAAACAGTAAAAATACCGGTTTTTAGGTGAGCTTGCCAGTCTGTCTTTGTAAAATTACCAATAACTGGTAAAAAAAAGTGAGATGGTAAAGGTACCAACGGACCTTGGTAAAAACGAGAATAATTTTTTTTTCAGTGTTGAGGTGGAAACTCGGAGCGTTTATTCAGTACAGCTAAAAAACCTATTTGGAGTCGGAAACTTTTTAATCGCTACTGAAATTTGGTTGAAATTCTAGGTGATAGTGGGATGGCATTAACCAGAATCAACTTGCATGCCGCGCGTCTCATGTTTCCTCTTCTTTTATTTTCTCACAGAAACAATACCTAAGCAGCATGACACCTTGAAAGTTTTCGTGAATTGTCCATTCCATAGAATGTGAATAATATGCTCACAAAACATGGCAGAATATTTCTTAGCCTTGTTCAAAAAAAAATGAACACGAGAAGAAATTAAGTAACATTTGATGCAGTTTGGTCAATTTTATTACTAGTTCTGCATGCCGTCCAATTTGGACGTATTCATGTCGAAAAAAACCATATGTACAAATATGAATTAAATCAAATAAAGCTATGTGCATATGATTTGCTTACTTCATGTTTCTTCTGATTTCATTCATTTGTACATGGGGCTTTTTAATATAAATGCGTTCAGTTTGAATTATCAACTAATTAGCAAACTATTTAATCATCTGGTGCAAAAAATTGTGATCCCGCCGATCAACTATTGCACGTGTGCATTCTAGTTGTTTCTGAGAAACTTGACTTACCTGTCTTAAGGGAATTATCACTAACAAATCTCTCACCTGTGAGTTCAACCCTTTAATTTTCCTTAAGTTGTCAGGGTATTTTAATTTTTTCATTGTATTTGTACCTTACCCTTGCGTAACGGTCCATTGCTGTCTCCGATCAGTGGGCTAAATAAGCAGGTCTGCATAAAAAATATTTTTAAAAACGCTGGAATTAGGATGGTTGTTCACATGCAATTCTCAGAGTTGAGCGCGGAGATGACCACAGTTTTTCCTCTCTACTCGCCATTTTTTCGGTATTATTAAACATTTATTAACAACGGGCTTTTCCGAGAAAAATTTAGTTTTACGAAAAACTGGTGCACCAAAGAGAAAAAATATGGTCATTTGCCGATGAAACAGCCTGAAATACCTATGGATTCACGTATACTGTATGCCTAAAAAATCTTCCCCGCTATGTCTGATAATGAGGTTCTCCGCCGTACGATCCATTTGTTTGGCATCCCATCAATTTGTTTTATTCGGGTATCCAAAGAGGCTAATTCTCTTCTTACTTTTTGCCGCTAAAGTGTAGAATGACTTTATCTCCAATATCTAAAAATTCTACGTAAACTCGATTTTTCCGGCACGTACTTTTTTAAGCGTGCCAGTAGGGCTCGCTTTTTGAAATCACTCGGATGTACCATAGTACAGCACACAGATCAACCAATGCTATTCAACGGGTCGTCCAAATACTTTTTTCCTCGCACCCGTTTCTTTGTCTTTGAACCATTACACTGTCAAGCCCTGATGGTCTTTTACCAAAAAATCTAATGAACTGCTAATTGGAAACCCTTGAGAACATTTTTCTGTCAAAACCGTATTATTCAATTTGACAGAAACCTCATAGGAGCTTTCTTACGTTCGGAGGACTCAACTCTAGAACCTTCTTTCCCGCCAAAACTCTATAGCCATAATGAGCGTCTTGCACTGTAAGTGCAATCTGTGATGAGCCTCGTGACTCATTATACTATGTACTAACCATGGCCCCTGCCGAAATCCACTTAAACCACTACAGTTATCTCGCGATATAGCTTTGGGTGTCCGGTTTCGAGCAAGGCAATAAAAGACGGCGAGGCGATTAACCGATTAACCATTCACCGTGATGCCAGGATCCACCAAATTTTCTCAAAAATTGTTTTCCGTCTATTTAGCGAGTTTTTCTTTACTTTCCGTTGAAGTACAAATAAAAAGAGACCTCATTTGTACAAATCGGCCGAATAGGAGAGAAGTTACAGTTCGAAATCCAAAGAGATTAACTGAACGCGATTTCGATGCACGGCAGTTCGCCCAAATCACGGTCGTGCGCAAATGCCGCATATCAGCTTAAAATCAAGATAATTGGACGGAATCCTTAAAATTAATTTACATTCAACGTTCATGAATCAATATTTTCTCCCAAATTTAGCAAAAAGTACCAATTGATGCAAAAAGCAAAGACGTGAAAATAAGAGGTATTTGTCCAACATTTCAGTTATTCGGCACGCTTTTCCAACATACTCATGTTGGATTTTTTCTTCTTGTTTTTTTTTTTTTTTTTTTTTTTTTTTTTTTTTTTTTTTTTGGGGGGGGGAGGATTCCTTAATGATGGGAAAAACTAAGATCATCTCTGGCTTCAAGAGAAAAAAAAGAAAATGGCAATCCTCCGGTCAGACATCTAAACAAAATAATTTTCAATTCCATTCAGATGCAAAACAAACGGACCAGTTTTGTATGGGGGTATATGGGGCAATTATGCTATTTATTTAACCAGGAAAACCTCGTTGTCCGGCACAGAGGGAAACATTTTTAGGCAAGCTATACACGTTATTTCATGCAACTTAGGCTTTTGAATCCGAAAATGATCTTAGCAAGTCTTCACCATGCTGTAATTTCTAGTAACCTGAACTCCCCCCGAAACTCCCATTTTTTAGGGACATCTCGATTTTCCGGAAAATTAGTGGAAAAATCTCAGGTCAATTACGGATCTTTAGGACTCAACGCCAAAAATAATCTCCTTATCTGTTATCAAATCCCCATGATTTTTGTTGGTTCCTTTGCTTGAGTACAGATCTTGGTCATTATAAAATCTCAACTTATAGAATATTGAGCACGATCCCATGGAAAACTAGTGCACCTTCAATATTTTGCCTATACAATGCGGACGACCGTCGAGTTCGAATAGTTGCAATGAAGGCGTCGTTGTCCTCTCAGTATCCGAGTGCACATTTCATCGTGGATTCAGATTATATACCTGAATTAAGTTTTATTGGAAAGGTTTTTCATGCCCTTTTCCTGAAGTTACTATATTTCCAAACCAAAAAATATCACGCCGAAAAAAAATTTATCCGTAAAACATGCTAAAATCATCAATTAAGCAGATTTATTTTAGTAGATTATTTTATTTTACTCTTGTTCTTGCGCTGACGATTATACCTTTTCGTCAATGATTGTGTTTTAACTGGCACATTATTCAAGTCTGTTTGCCTTTGCCACTTCTCTTTGACAGCGTCGGTTAAACACACTAATCATTTGATACAAGTTGAGGTAAGCAATGATTACAACTTGTCGTAAAAGAATAAAATGTCCCAAGCACGTAAATGTCCAAACGTAAGCACGCCCAATCCATATTCATGCTGTCAAAATGTCCCATTATGTAGAAAACCCAATAGGGACAATATGACCAAACACAAAAATCACCAAATGCCAATTTACCTTCTTGGTATTATTAGCAACGTATAGTTTAGAATGTTTTTATGCTGTTTCTAGAAAGAATGTGTGCTGCATCGTTTGCTGAATCACGCTCATCTTGCGGTGTTTTACTTACCGGTGAACATTATCAGACGTTGCAATAAGTTTAGCCTCCAAAAGAAATTCATTGCCTGCACCATGCCCCTGCCTGAGCCACTGACAGAGGTTCTGAGTCTAGATTGTACCAATTGTAAAGAAATGTCGAAAAAATTGTGTAGTTCTTATGATATTCTTTATTTTACTCAAAATAATGAAATTCCCAACACACGTTATAGTTTTAATTTTTTAACTAATTGAATTCAATAATGATTCGAAATACTTTCAAATCATTCGCCGAATCCAGACTGTTAAAATATAAAATTCCTTGGACACCTCGACGTTGTATGACATTGAATTAGGAAAGAAACCCATGGAAACTAATCTAGTCCTCGTTAGAGTCACAAACCAGTTAAATTTTGAGAAAAAGGAGGGGAAAATAATTTTTCTTATGAATTGTTTGCAAATCCTCGAGTGACAAATTGTTGAACTGGAAAACTCTATAATGAAGCGGAAAACCCGCTTTGGAATCCAATGAGTCCAATCCCCTTTTTCGATGCTGAGCACATTCTATACTTTGGTCGAATTTTTAATAAAAGTTTCTGCAGCTCCGAGCAGCGTCAGAAAATTTTTTCTGCGTGTCTCTCAGAGGCGGGATTTATAGATCTTCAACTTCAAAATGCTCTCAATGGTCAATTTCTGATATTATGTTGTACCAAAAGATGCAGAGCTAACCTTTCTAAAATGCAGTAAGGTCATCGTTGGATTTCATTTTTACTTCTTTGCGGAGGCTCTTATCCCTAGCTCAATTATATAAAACATTTTTCCTGAATTTTGGTGATTATTATGATTTAGCCACTTGAGAACAAGTCAACTTTCAAGTGTTAAGGACCTTGCTTGGTTCCAAATGTATGCAGCATGTCTAACGACACTGCTAGTAGCATACACAGTTTACAGCATACACACACAGTTTATAGCACACACTAATTTGTGACAACAGATTTTAATTTTCCGAATGTATTGTCTTCGAATATTTTTTCAACGCAAAACGTTGTGGCAAACGCTCGCTCTCAGTTTTGGAACCAAACTGACACTGTGAGTCAGACCGCACGGATCGAAAGGAATTTTAATTTGAACACTGTACTTCCATCAAAAGGAGATGAAAACCATCGTAGATTCTTCAGAGTTCTAAACAATATTCAAGAATCAAAAATGAAGGTTTTCATTGTCTATTATCTATTTAAATGTTCTGCTAAGCACCATTAGGTATGTCAAAATTATCTTAGGTCAGATTGCTCAATAATGAATCTTAAGTGACCAGTTACCATGAAAGAGCACTCATTATGCTGTTCTTGTATCGACCAATTTGGAAGCACAATGCATTGGAGAAGTACTAACAAAATCATTTTAACTTTAGTTCATTATTAGTGGATGGAGCATAAAATCAACTACGGACAACGCGTGAATCAGTAGGATAATCCCGTAGGCAAGCTCGTTTTGAAAATTTCCATCAGGAGCATCGTATCTTTCGTCAAATGAATGATGTCATGCAGTTTTAGTGCCTTGACCCTTACCTTATCCAGCAGTCCAACAGAGAATTTTGCGGCTGGGCGGGTAAAAGAATTAACCTCAAAACGAGCCGGAACGAAGGACGCTCAAAACTGGAAAACACTTTCACCTGTCGGTCATTTTTTCAAAGCGCACAAAGAGACCAGAAACGAGGGCCGCATGGCCGGGGAAACCCGACGGAACAACAGGTCCGAAACGCCTCGCACGAAGGAAGTGACGTCACGGAGGAAGTGACGTCAGGACGAAAGGCGGCTGGAAAAAGTTGGCAGAGGTGAGGCGCCGCGACAGGGTTATTTAATGAGCACGGAATTTACATGAAAGGAAACGCCCGGGGGCCGGGGGGAGGGGGGGGCGGGGAGCGGACGGCGCCAAAAAAGGCGCGAGCCGAAGATTGATAAAAATGGCAAATTGCGGAATCGAGAAAAGCGCGGTGCGCGAACAAAAAGGCGAGCAATTTCCGGGGGACCCGACCGGGGAACGGCCGGAACACGGAACGCGGGAAGACCGGAACAGCGGAACACCTGAAGAGACTCGGAACCGCAGGGCCCGGCGGAAGTCGTATCACGAGTGGATCGCGCGGGCCCCGAACAGCGGCAACGCGGCCGCGGGGCGCGGGAGGGGAAGGAAGGGGAGGGCGGACGGGACGACCTCCGGAGGAAAACCAACCGGGACACCGGGAGGAAAACCCCGCGCGAGGGGGCCGCGAGCCAATAGGGCACGACTAATCGGCCGATAATTCAATTCGCCGATCCGACGCGCGGGCTGCGCGTCGCCACGCCGCTTCGGACCCGCGCGCGCATCTTCCTCCTCAACCCCCCGCCCCTCCCAGGCGCTCGTTCGCCCCCGTCCCCTGGTGACGTCGACACGACTGGAGCGAGTGGAGCAGGGACTGGATTCTTGTCTGTGCCTCGGATTAGAGTCCCTTTGTACTGAGAGTCAAGACAACACTGGTAAAAAAAAAACCTCTTGGTTCAAGAGTGCAGTTTCTTGTTGCCGGATTTACGAGTCTGGACTCTTGTTTCAATGCAAAATCCGCTTTAATTAATGCAAAATCCGCTTGAATCAATGCAAAATCCGCTTGAATCAATGCAAAACCCGCTTTAAACAAGAGTTCAAGACTCTCAAATCCGGCGACAAGAAAGTGCACTCTTAAGTCAATGCACCGCGGCATTGGTCCAATAGGTTTTTTTTTACCAGTGAACCCCGCCTCATAGAGTCACAAACGGGAATAAAGATTACACAAATTGGCAGTTTTCCGTAATCTTTGATCGGCTCATTCTCAAATTATTTTCTCCGTCCCTTCTCTCATTCCGTTTGTTCCTTGTCGAACTCGTTATTCCCTGGTCCATTCTACATTATAATCTTTGCAATCGGAGAAAATATATTCTTTATTACCGTTTGTGACACTGTGGAGGCCTAAAATACGGGAACCAGTCAGAAATGGATTCACTTCACATTGTCTTGACTCTCAGTACAAAGGGACTCTACCTCAGATTCGCCATTCTAATGTGGATTCTTTTGATGATGACGTCATGACGGCATTTTTTTACGGCCGAGTCACTTTCGGTTCCAATCAGAGATAATTCATTGACGGTGGAGCTCCCAAACCACGTATCTCGATGTACGACGTTGCAGACTTCCTGTTCTATTTCATTTTGTAAATGAAAGCTACTCAATGTTAATTTTTCAAAACTGCCGGGATTTTTCTTCTCAAAGAGTAAAAAATTCTGTGAAAATTTTCGAAGGAAAGGTGTTGATTTTTATACCTGCTTTAAAACATGAAATAGGAGACGAGATTTTAAAACATCGCAAACGAGGTACGTTTTTTAGGAATGCCGCCGTCGCTATCTTCCTTGCACTCACTTGGATCGAGTTCAGCAGAAGAGAAGCAAGCTGCTTGATTGTTTTTTTTTTTTAAAGAAAAAAAAAACAAGGAGCCTGCTCTTTTAGAAATTCAAATGTCGAATAAACACACATTTTGTGTTAGCTTGACATTAATTTGCACTCCACGACTAACACAGATTTTTTTGCAGAGCAATACTCTGAATTACGTGCAGAAGCCAAGGAATGATAGCAAAAAATGGCCCTGTTGGTGTGCTTTGTGTTATCCTGTGTTGTTCTTGTTCTGCAGCGTTAATTATGTCGGGAACACGAACTAATTGGGCGTATTTCTGTCAAATGAAACTAAGCGCCATCGGGGTAAGCAAGGTAGAGGAGGGGCTTGGATTGGCGGCGGAACCGGGCGTCGGGCTCATTCGTTCCTATACTCGCAATGCTTTTCCATGGCGCTTAGTTCCGTTTGACAGAACGCGCTATCCGGGATTCTAAATTCCTCAAAAGGAACTCAAATTGGCGCTTAGTCCCGTTTGGCAGAAATACGTCCAATTGAAAGATGAAAATTTGCGCATCAATTTTGTGTACTAAATCCTGTGGCCCGCAATCGTTTTAACATTTCCGCTCATTTTTTTTATTTTTAAACAGGAAATACGTATATTGAATGGGCCTGTTGCATGCAAGAGATACAGCCGTGCGAATAGACTTATTAGAGGTTAAATTACACGAAAATTACGATGGTCACATTCAAAAAGTCTGAAATACACTCCTTACTGCGCAATTTGCGTTGTTAGGAACGCGCTTTTTCAAATTTCCCGCGTCTGGGGCAGTTTTCTAATCACCGGAAACGAGCAAACGGCGTGCTCGGTGATTTCCGAAAGATGCGGAGTCCATGTTGTTGTTGTTCTTTTTTCCTTCAGTTTGTTTAGAAAGTACAAACCCAACGTGATCTCTCATAGTGGTCCACATACGATTTACGCAGTAACTAAATTAATCAACTTTTAAGTATCCAACGCAATCCTTCTACATTTTATTTCACGATATCACGATCTCCGATTTTCAGGTTATGTTGTCAGTTTTAGTCGACCGGAAATAGCCGCGAGTTGCCATTACTTGTTTCCGTTATAGAAAACTGCCCCTAGACGCGGGAAATTTGAAAAAGCGCGTTCCTAACAACACAAATTGCGCACTAAGGAGCGTATTTCAGACTTTTTTAATGTGACCATCGTAATTTTCGTGTCATTTAACCTCTAAAAAGTCTATTCATACGGCTGTATCTCTTGCATGCAACAGGCCCATTTTCTGAATTTTTCAGGACAAATCGCATTCTGAATTTTTCAAGTATTGGCTTTGAAATTTTAAAGAAGTATCAAAGAATTTAAAGACCAAAAAATATCTGCAAACATTACTTCGACCCCTAATTTTAAATTTCTGATTTTTAAAACTTCACACTAATTTGAATCATTTTAAGTAGCACTATAATATCGTAATCAGTGGGCAGATTTCAACCTCTCATTCTGATTGCGTTTTGTCTTAAATTGACCTTAGAAGAGCTCACTTTTCCTTAGGATGAATCCTAGTGTACGAAAATTGACAAATGTGCTCTTCAACTTCCTCCATAATTTCTCCATTACATCAGATCTGAGAAAGTTATTTTTTTCCTCTAATTTCGTAAATGAAGGTTGAAATATCACGGGGGAAAAAGTGTTAGGGGTTATCCACTAAAATTGTGGTAGGTACTACGACAATTTGTTGGATGATACGGACGTTTCTAATTAATTGTGGTAGAACCGCAACTCAAGTTAGGGTAGTACTGCAACATTTGGGTAAGTAACCGAATTTATTGGGGTACGACACAACAACCACAATTAATTCATGTACTACCACAATTAATTGGAAATGTCCATATCACTCAACAGCCTCGTGCTTTTTTTTTATCCGTGACAGGTTCATCAACATCAGATCATATGCTCTAAACTTAGCACAGAGAAAAAAAGAAATTAGGTATGGGAACACAATTCATGATTCGGGAGATACAAAAAAAAAAAAATCGGAAAATTTGATAATGTTTTATTTAAAGTATAAAGCACTGTATAAAATAAGTAATGCTCCATTTTTTATTTTTCGACCCCATCCCTTCCTTTCTCATAATGAGCTATAATATAGTCCAGTACCAACTACCAATAGATCTAAAAAGGGGGTTATGAATGCAAGAAAGAGGTCAGAAGAGGTTAAAGCTGATTTTTATGTATTTTTGGTCGCTTAATCCGAATTTGATGCTTCCCACCAAATCCGCCTTGTGCGTTTTCCGGAAAAGCTGGAAAACTGCCGAAAATCACGTTTTTACGCGCTTTTCCGGGAATAAATAGCTTAATATTCGTCGGAACGAAAAATGAGTTATTAGCAAAAATGTAGCCAAGTAAATTGCCGACAAAATTGAAATGAACAAGTTTTCGCTTGGACTGAAATTTAAGCCACCAGAGCCCGCGAAAGTTCGAAATTTGCCGAAAATCACGTTTTCTCGCGCTTTTCCGGTCGTAACTTCCTTAATTCACCTTGAATCGAAAAAGTCAACAGAAATGAAATTTTAGATAATCAAATTTTGAACGAATCTTGATGAGAAATTTTTTGATAAGAGTCATTTTTCGGCCGCTAGAGCGCGCTGAAGTGCAAAAAACCCCTGAAGATAGGCAATTTTGTCGACTTTCTTCTCGATTCCGATGATATTAGCAGCATATCATTTGAAAAATAATTGCGTATCATGGCAGAAATGTATATTTGAATCGCGTATTTCGTTTAAAACTTGTTGTAAAGCTTTTATTCCGCTCGCAACTTTGACGAGTGAATCCGTAGCATTGCATGGAGGATGACATTTGTGTATACAAGGACGAAAATCAAGTGAACGTACGTTGCATTTTGTACTCTCGTCCAACTTGGAGCCTGGAGGAAAACATAGGTAACATCCTCAATCTTGACCATAGCTCTTTGACCAGGCCGAAGCAGCTGTGGTCACTCGTAACGCCGGGAAAGCCCACTTCGAAGCCTCGTGGAGTGCTGCAATACAATAGCAGCAGGTATAGGACCGGGCATGTTTCAACGGATTGTGGTGGCCGCGCTTTGTGAAAAGTGAAAAGGCAGCCATGATCGGGGGAGGAGGGCTAGAGGGGGTGAAAACTCTCATTGTACATCATGCTAAATCTAACACCCTGCGAAGATATTTCGGCCAGCTTCTGCTAATATGCATTTTTGAGGAGATTATGTCAAAAAATGTGACACTGGAAATCTGAGACTGATAATTTTCAGTCATCGGTCGAATCTCTGTCTTTCAACATATTTCGTCTCTAGCTTAAATGCACGTGTAAATTCACTGATTCCTTGAGTTTTCCACTGATTATAATCATTTTGACGTCGGAATGTTACGTTAATTCTTGCGCCATATCGATAATCCGTGATGAATTTGTGTTTTATTTGTGAAAGGCCGCTTGAAACGGCCAGAACAGTGTTGGCAGGGAAGAAAGGCTTGCCCTCATTGCGGAGAGCAAGTGTTAGAAGAAAAGATAAAAAACCTCGAGTTATTGCCTCCCTCGCTAAAGTGACAGTGCATTATAAGTTTCAAAAAGAATATGTGAATGAAAAATTAATCGTTGCTCATTTGAAGCGGATGCGAAAAATTCAGGAATGTTCTATCGAGCCGAGGCAAGTGCGCTCCGAAGAGCCAGAATTTGACTTTAAGCGATGTTGTTTCTTTTGTGGTGAAAGGATTCCTGCAGACTTACAAACAAAAAACAATAAACTTCCATTGCATCCATTGCTTCCATTGATTATCTGTCCTGATGCAAAACCGTTGTCGACAATCTCTCGAAAAGGAGGAGGGAAAGACTTGTATCAATGTGTTCCAGATCAAGGTTTAATATTTCGCTGCATTTGATTCTCATGTGTTACCTACTATAATGATTGATTAAAATCTCCAAATTGTTCATAAAATCCACTGTTTTTTCTTAGCCCTCCAATTATTTTTTACAATTTTTGTTTAAAAAAAACTATCCTTTAGAATCCATTTTATGCATGTATTTGCGGCTGTTGCGCTTGCGGTTAGGTGTAGAAGGGGGGGGAGCTCTATTTTAGAAAAAGTAATTCCTGATGTTCTCTGTTTTGCAAATATCCATCGATTCTTGAATTTACAGTGCATGAACCGCTAATATCATCGGAATCGAGAAGAAAGTCGACAAAATTGCCTATCTTCAGGGGTTTTTTGCACTTCAGCGCGCTCTAGCGGCCGAAAAATGACTCTTATCAAAAAATTTCTCATCAAGATTCGTTCAAAATTTGATTATCTAAAATTTCATTTCTGTTGACTTTTTCGATTCAAGGTGAATTAAGGAAGTTACGACCGGAAAAGCGCGAGAAAACGTGATTTTCGGCAAATTTCGAACTTTCGCGGGCTCTGGTGGCTTAAATTTCAGTCCAAGTGAAAACTTGTTCATTTCAATTTTGTCGGCAATTTACTTGGCTACATTTTTGCTAATAACTCATTTTTCGTTCCGACGAATATTAAGCTATTTATTCCCGGAAAAGCGCGTAAAAACGTGATTTTCGGCAGTTTTCCAGCTTTTCCGGAAAACGCACAAGGCGGATTTGGTGGGAAGCATCAAATTCGGATTAAGCGACCAAAAATACATAAAAATCAGCTTTAACCTCTTCTGACCTCTTTCTTGCATTCATAAACTCCTATTGGTACTGGACTAATATCAGTCTGACACTACCCTAATTGCAAATCTTCGTGTCAGGGTAACCAGATACCAAATAAATATGGCATCGCATAACATATATACCAAGCGACAATAAACCCCAAATCTTGCAGTGCAAACTTATGAAAAACCGGTGCGGCTTCATGTTTTGTGTATGCAACACTCACAGTCCTGAAACACGAATAGTTGCATCAAAGGCAAGGCATTAATATGAGCGCCAAACTCCTTAATCCATGACAGTTCTTTTTTCATAAATGGGTACATTCTGCCATGAAGATAGTAAAGATAATATCAAGTTATGAGGGCACACTCCTGCAAAAGTCCCTCACACTGAAAAAAAATTCTCGGCGTTTTTACCAAGGTCCGTTGGTACCTTTACCATCTCACTTTTTTTACCAATTATTGGTATTTTTACCAAGACAGACTGGTAAGCTTACCTATTTATCGGTATTTTTACTGTTTTTTCAGGTAAGAATACCACTTTTATTGGTAATCAATTCCCGGTAATTTTGCCATTTTATCTCGGTAATACTACCACAGTCGATTAAAAATTTGGCGTTTTTACCAAGGTCCAGTAAAATTACCGAGAAAGCTCAATAATTTTACCAATTCAATAAATGGTAATTTTACCAAGAAAAAACTGGGATCAAATAGAACCCTGAATTCTTGGTATTTTACCCTTTTCTTAGTAAATACACCGAGATTTTTTTTTTCAGTGCAGTTCTTTTTTCATAAATGGGTACATTCTGCCATGAAGATAGTAAAGATAAAATCAAGTTATGAGGGCACACTCCTGCAAAAGCCCCTCAAGATTAAGTGCAACAAAAACATAACGTAACCTCGCAAATAAGAAGTATATAACTCTTCAAGCGAGAACGGGAATCTGGTGAGCTATTAAAGGAGCGAGCCTGCCTCGAAGCATCCCGAAACGTACCCCGGTATTAGGGGAGCCGCGTTTCGTTATTGGTCGAGGAGGAAAGCGCTGATTGGCCACTCCTGCGCGTGTGCCCTCCCACGGCCCACCCATTCCCCGGGGACACGACGAGACGCTCGGCTGACTTCGCCCGAGGCCTTCCCGAATCTTCCCTCCTACTCTGCCGTGCTAAGGAAGAACGCCGTATGAACATTCGAGAGTTGTCAAATTGCCCCGGATAAAACATGTGTTTTTGAAGGAAATTCGACGTAATTTTCTGTGAAATTTTCAGACGTTTCAGATAGAATGGAGATATTGCATATGTGAGGGATTTGCAATTTGACCATTGATTCTTATGTAAAAGTTCGCGAGAAACACGATGGTGCCACTGGTTTTCTCTGAAATCATCTCCCAAGCTCAAAAAAAGCTCTCAAAGTGAGGCCAAAATGGAGGTGATATCCCACCATACCCTGAGAGTCCACCTCTACATCAAAACAAACTCGCCATGCAAAGATAGGGAGCAAATACATTGACAGGGCTGCCACTTCATTTGGGGACTCTAAAACTGTAAACACGGCAACCCTGCTAATGTATTTGCTCCCTATCTTTGCATGGAGAGTTTATTTTGATGTAGAGGTGGACTCTCAGGGTAGAGTGGAATATCCCCTCCATTTTAGCCTCACTTTGAGAGCTTTTTTTGAGCTCGGGAGATGATTTCAGAGAAAACCAGTGGCACCATCGTGTTTTTTGCGACCTTTTACATAAGAATTAATGGTCAAATCGCAAATCCCTCACATACATGCAATATCTCCATTGCGAACAAAATCGTCTGAAAAAATTGAGGAAAAAATCAGCAATTTTCCTAGTAAATTAGGTTTTTATTGCAGAACATATGGCAACGTCTGAAGGCTCATACGGCGTTCTTCCTTAGCACGGCAGTACCTACTCTTCTGTCAGGTTCCTCGGGCCCGGATTCATAAATCGTCACTGTAAAATATCTGAGAGTAGGTTCGAATGTTTACACTGACTTTTGAAATGTTTGAACTAATCCTCTTTTCTCATTTGGTATTTATTCACTCGTTTATTTTTAGGAAAAAGGTTTTTTGTCTTCTTGCACAGGCAGAAATGCTATGAATGATGGATTCAGAACGTGCATTCCCGAAACTATGATAATAGTCTGTAACTCATTTTATACGCTGGTAAAATGGTTGGTAAATGAGCATTATGTTAGATTGAAAAAAAAAATGTATCTTATTCGAACGAAAGTTAAAATGTTTTCTTTGTGTAGAACATTTTTTAGTAAGAGAAATATTTTAATGTCAAGAGAGCTTTTTTTTATACAAAAATTGTAATGTGCATGTCATTGACGACAAAGTTTTCTCTCTTTGAAATAAATAAAAAAAAAACTTTTTTAATCTCAGACGAAAATTCTTTAAATCGGAGACGAAGACGACATTTTATGAATTGCAAGAGGTTTTCACCTTTTTCATCCCAGTGATGTTTTATACAAAAAGGCAACTCTTGCTAAAATCAGCACTTTCATATGAAAAATAAACTGTCGCAAATCTAATTAAAATCAAGATGTAAGGCACTAACATTTTCTTCATGGTTCGAAAGCTTTTTTGAACTTATTTGACACTCGGTGTTATTATGTTGGTGNGGGGGGGGGGGGGGGGGTAGCGGCACACGCAGTATTTGATTCCCTTAGTGTATTTTCTCGTTAGAAATATTCGTCACCTTTGTTAATATTTTAGTTTGCTTTTCTGCCAGATCGTTACCTTCGTTATTACAATTTCCATGGCTGAAATGCGAAACTGCGTATCTCTATTGCGGTGTTTCAAAATCTTCGCACCTAGTTCATTTTTTCGAAGAGAAATAAGTCAACTTTATAGCTTGAAATTCACACAGACTTTTCTATTGACGACAAAGAAAAATCAAGGGAGTTTTCAAAATTATCACGTTGACTAGTTTTCCAAGGATAAAAGAGTTTGCCGGCCGGAATTCTACAACGTCACAAACGGAGGTATACACGGTCTTGCATTTCAGCCATCGCTTTGTATTGTAATCACCTTACCTACTTCCTCTATTCGCCTATCACTCCTTGCTTTTGTTGCTTTGAATTTCACTTTTCTGTAATTTTATCCTGCACTCATTGTCCGACTGCTCTGTATATTTTGACCGTTTATAATGCATTTTTATATTATTTACTTCAATTCTTGTGATATTTTATACTAAATGTGCTGAAAATGCCATCATAATGCTACTTCATGTGCAAAATATAATTTGCCACTCTAAATAACGACTTGCACTGGTATGTTTATACCTCCCACTCAATTTGCGTCTAAAGTCACGCATGGTGCACTTTGAAAACTAAAAATAATTATTCACGCCCAAGTTTCCTTGGAGAGGCAGTGCTCCCATCCATTCACGCAGGAAACGCTACTGCTTATTTACAGTGTATAAACAGTTCGAGTCTTAAACCAAGCAAAGTTTGAGAACAACGCTTTAAGATTACGGTCCAAACGCCTAGCACCCAACCGCAGTACCAGCTCCTAACCATCTTTTTATCCGAGTGTCGGCTCTATCTAGATCCAAACGCCCCAAATATCATCGCAACCTCCCCCAAACATCCCGAAACTTTTGTAATTACACCCATTGTCGTCTCAAAGTCAAACCCCGCTCCACGACCCCCAGACATATCGAAAGCACGCAAAACTCGCGACTGCCGAGGGAAGGTTGAAGAGAGAGAGGGGGGAAGGGGGCACGTGTGTGGATCGGTGATAAAAGGGGATGGACGCAGGGCCGGAGGGACGGAACAGCGAAACATTCAATTGAGCGGCAACGAAGACTAACTGCGCCTCGCAACAGATTGCAATAACAATGCGATAATTGTGCCTGTGTGTCGACCGGAGTTTGCCTTCGATACATCGAAAATCGATATTTTGGAAGGGCTAAACAGGGTCGATGAATCGACGAGTCGATTAGATCGGGGATACGTCCGGAACGACCGCCCAACGAGGGATTATGAATATTTATGTTTGTATATTTACGTGTACTCCCGCGCTATGTTAAAACGGCGTGTGATCATACCAACGTTGCCAAATTTCCTCCGATGAAATATTAATTTCTTAGGAAAATTATTGATGCCTCTCCTCAAAATCATCATCTACTTTAAATTCGATCGCTAGTCGAGTTCTCGGAAAAATTTGCGGAAAAATATTCAGAACTTTCCTTGAAAAATCGTTTGTTTGATCGAGGGAAATTTTGCAACTCCTTGGAGCTCATCGGACGTTCTTCTTCGATGCGGTTGTGTATGAGTGTGGCTGTAACTAGGTTGTGATTAATAGCTCCGTGGCGGGAGATTGGAGGAGGGGGGCTACTTTGTGGACTGGTGCTGTTAACGAGAGAGGGCGGCCGACGCGGCGCTATCGACAAGATAATGGAAATGAAGGAGGGAGATGGTAAGATTACGCCACCCTCCGGGAGAAATTGGGAGTGCCCCTTTTCCTACCCTTGATTTTTCGGTGTTAAGAGACCAGGAACGGGGTTTCAGTTTTAAGACGCGAGAGACGAGGAGAATGAACGAGATTGATCCAGGGGTGAGAGTCAGAAGGATTGAATTTTAAAGGCGGGAATAAAGTCTTCCACAGGTAGACTAAATTCAGAATCGAGTAATCACTGTTTTTGGATCATTTAAATGGAGTAGAATTGTCTGTTGGATCAATAGATGTTTCAATTGGACCGCGTTAAACAGAAAGGAACCAAGCCACATCAGCTGTTGTCAAATTTACTTGGGCTATTTAGTTTTTTACATGAAAACGGTTGGGCGGATTTTAATGCAAATTTCAGCGAATTTTCTCCATCGTATAAAGCAAATTTTTGAATATTTGCAAAGGGATCCGCAAAAAAGTTGTCTCGTAAAAAATCAAATAGTCCAGTAAAATTTGGCAATAGCTGATGTGGCTTGGTTCCTTTCTGTTAAACGCGGTCGAATTTGTAATTCCTGGACGAGAATTCTCGTTTGATCAACAGGATATCTCCTTGTTTCAAAAGGTGTTTTCTGGTATTTCAAAGAAACGCCCTGTCATTTCAAAGAGATTTCTGGTTCACTCACACCCAGGGATTAACTGAAATTGTTTTATCAAGATACAGCCTATGTGTCATTAGTTTCCCTATGCAGATTGGTGTCAATGTAGGTGAGCCAGATATAGCGCTTCCTCGTTGCGAAATAAATAGCCAAAGAGAAGCTGAAAAAAAGAGACTACATACCGCAGTGAGGAGCTATTATTTCTGACCAGTGGCGTGGCGTGAATTGCGATATATCGATTGATATGCCATTTAAACCTATGAAAAAAGATCGATTATCAGGGTGTTCGCAGCGAACATCTTGGTAATCGATTGTTTACCATAGCTTCAAATGGCGAGATATCGATAATCGATTATTCACGCCACGCCACTGTTTCTGACTCATCCAATCATCCAAAGAAACATACTAATTTGCATCAGGAAAATAATGGCACATATCGATGGTGAAACTACCAGACCACGTATCTCGTTTGCAGTGTCTAAAAATCTCCCCTCTCATTTTATTTTTTTGGAGGAGAAGTGTTCAATATCATTCCTTGATGTTTTCAAATAAATTTTTTCGTACTGAGGGGAAAAATCACGGAAGTTTTCAAGAATTGACTTTGAGCAGTTTCCTAATTAAAAATTAAAGTATGGCAGGAAGTCTGCAACGTCGCAAACCGATATAAGTGGTCTGGTGCTTGCACCGTCGATATGCCACTTCAGAGTTGAGCCTGAGATATTAGCTCCTTATTGCTCAATGTAGGACATTGGACTAAATTTTTCAATGAAGAATTACTACTTTTGGCTTATTTTAGAGCCAGAATAATAGAATTGTTAGTTTTCACCGCAGATAAGTGCATTTGTGGATGACTCGAAGTTGCAATATCCTTCTTTTCACAGTGTAGTCAAAAGGGCCGGTGTACCCGTTGTTATTAAGAGTTGAAAAATTCCCGGAAATCGGACCAGTAGATCTTTAGAGCGAATTATGACAGAAAATGGAAAGTTGAATTACTCAAATGGGAAAATTCACAATTTTATCACGTACCTAGTACTAAGGAGACCTGAGTCATACTTCGAAAATTTAAAGAGAGCAGTATGCATGTTCATCAAGTGGTCATTGTTTGCCGATCATCTGCGAAAATCACGAAGTCCAGCCCAGCGGATCTGTAGAACGGATCATGACAAAGAATGAGAAATCAAAGAGCTTATGTAGGTATCCACCATTAAAAAATATTTTTAAAAAAATACTCCATGCGAAGTAAATGTGGGACACAGGTCAAAAATTTTCTGAACCCTTGAGTCCATGTAAAATCACAGTCAGATATTTAAGTACATTTTCGTTTACTTAAGAAAATTCACTCGATTATGATGAAACAAAACAGATATTGGTGCTCGAAAGCACAATTAGTTTGAAGTATTTTTTTTTCTTAGTATGAAACATATCAACCATGAAACTTCTAAGGACAAAAATTACATTTTCGGAGGTCTGAGGGGAATTTACCCTCCAAAATTTTTGAAGTTTAAAACAAATGGATTAAAACAAAAAAAATTAATTAAAAAAAATTATTTAATAGGGAATTTATAATTCGTTTCCTCTTACATTAACTGTGTGCTTCTAAAATGTTTCGAAAGTTACACTATCAAAGTTTTGAAATCAAAAGAGCGTACTAGAGCTTACAACCAAAGAACGAATCTTAGAAGGACTTAAAGTGGTGAAAAATTGATCAAAATGGCACAAACCTATTTTGCCTTTTAGAAAATCTGCTCGATATTATCGGCTTCAACTTTTAAAATTTTCAAGTCTAATCACGCCGGTTCTAAGCTGTAATTTCAGCATTAACTCAAAGAAATTCATAATGCCAAAAAAAGGCATTTGGGGTTTCTTGAAAGTCAGGATATGAAGCATTACGCCGTTTAACCTTACATGCCTCATCATGGTAATATTCTCATAAACACCCGGGAGTTAGATTTTTGAAAGCCCTCGGCACGAGCGAAAAACGAAACCGTGAAATTATGATACTTGATGTTGGCACTCAAAAACTTGGTTCCCCTCTGCTCAATGCAATCCGCCTCCGATCCTGAATTGAACCAAGTTCTTGGTAGACAACATTCGTGCCTCGCTGCAATCCTCGCGCCTCGCCTCCAGTACTGCCCTGATAGCGAAGAGAGGAGTAAGTGCTTTTGTGTATGAGCCACGGTTAAGACATGCTTTTATGTGTCTCGAGGCTCATCGCAACCTACACTTACTGCTCTCTTCGCGCTATCACGGCAGAGTAAGTGGGCCAAGCTGAGCAAATAGACGCAATCGAGCCAATGTCACAGATCGGTGTGGTCTAGCCCTCGGGATTTTATGATGGGAAGAAACGAGCTATTTGCCTGAGTTATGATCAACAAACACTCTAGTTGGACCAACGGGTAATTAACGCTGCCGTAGCCGACTAACATTGCCGAAAAATAAGGTCATCTTCAGGCGAAAAGCGTGATTTGTGGTCCAAGCACAGGTGGCCCCTCACAAATCGGCACATTTGCGTCTGTACGCAAGAAAAATAGAGTCATTAAGGCCAGAAAATAACAGATTTTTACGGTATAAAATGGCTGGCCAGCCTTGCATCTTCACCAGTTTCATCTCTGTGCTTTCACAAGTCGAGAAAACCCGTGGAACCCGATCAGAATGCAGACCAAAGTCCTCTTCGTTTTGCTCCTGGCGTGCACCGTAAGTTAGTCTTTATGTTTTAGCGTTTTAAAATTGATCCCACGAAATAGGTAAATTTCATTACATATTACTTGGAGAAATTTAAGTCATTTTTAGTTTTCTCTACTTTTAAACATTTTTCGAATATTCTCTAGAACACGAGGTTTCACCTTCACCCAGAGTTAAACAGCCCCATATAAGTTGCGTCTTCAGGGATTCAAAATGAGATTGTTCTCTTCAGTCAAGTTCAATTTCCGAAACCCCCCCCCCCGTCGAAGCTATACAGCCCCCTAAATTTTCGGGAATGCCATTTTTATGTCTGGATTTTGGTGACGTTTTATGGACCAAGACACAAGAAAAATTGCTACTTTCCATATCTTTCGGCGCTGAATTTAGTCATCCTCAATCAACGTAATTTCAAATTAAGGGGAAATTTCTGGAGTATCAGTGGATTCGGGGGTTTCCAGGATAAAAATTTGGCTTTTTGGTCAATGAGGGTGCTTTTCAGGGCACCATTGCATTAGGACTCAAAATAATTTGAAGATGGTCTGCGTCTTCTTTTACTCCGTGGCTTGGTTTCCAGAAAAGTTCGCGTTCGAATGGATTTAAAATCCAGGGACTCCATAAGATCCACTACCCTTCTCGGAATCTCTCTTTAATTTTTGGTGTGAGCGGTTTGAAGTTAGAAATATTACAGCGAACCATACTCCCTGAAAATAACCTTCAGTTTTGGTTTCATGGGAGTGGAAATAATGAGCTCTAACTCTGTATAATGCAATCGAGTGTAATATTTTCGACAGTTTTAATCAAACCTCTAATAATTTTCTAAAACCGCCATTCACACTGGACTCTCCAATTTGAAATAGGAGTCTCCGTGAATTTAAATTCTGAAGATCTTATTTTATTTTCTTTATTTAGGCCGCCGTATCTGCCGACCAGAAGGTCCCTCTGCAGAAGAGAGCTGATGGTGTAATTTCCAACTTATTGGATTTCACGGGATCTCTGACCAAAAATATCGTCGACAAAGCGGTTTCAGGAGGTCACACGGTAAGTTATTAAAAAGCATAATTATTAAAATTATAAATTCGAAGCATAATTACAATTAAAGGGATGAGAGCTAAGAATGCTCAATAACAGGGGAAAAAGTGTTAGAGGTTACCCCTAACTTAAGTTAGGGTAATTTGGCACCGCGTTTAGCAGAAAGGAACCGAGCCACATCATCCAATATGCCATATTTAACCGGGCAATTTAATTTGTTACAAGAGAACGTTTGTGCGGATTTCTTTGAAAATGTTGAGGAATTTGCTCCGCACCATGCAGAAAATTCACTGTTAGCACAAAAATCCGCACAGCCGTTTTCATGTAAATAAATTAAATGGCCCAATTAAATTTGGCAATAGATAATGTGGCTTGGTTCCTTTCTGCTCAACGCGGTCCATTTAAAATAATGTAATAAAACAAAAGTACCTATTTCTGAGACTGATCCGTTTTTAAGATCGGACTAATTCAGCTAAATTTTTATCTTGCACACACAGGGTTCCCCAGCTTCCTTTGTTTTAGTTACAAGGTATTTTCTATGTGATAACAGAACTTTAGTCGTGAGCACACCCTGTGTTCATAACAGAAATACACATTGGAACTAAGGGAGGTTTAAGGAGTACTTTGGCATAGCTTCATTTTGACTTCATTTATCATGAATTAATACGACCCTGAGTGTTCTGTTGTCAATTACTGATCGGAACGCATTTAACAGACGGAAACTAGCTTGATCACAGTGTTTTCGAAATCGTGCAACTCTATCTTCACTTTAAGAAATATTTTATACATGTGCAGAAAAAAATTAACACGATCGTTTTCATTTAAAATTGACCATTTTTTGGGCCGAAGAGCAAGAACTATTTGTTACTCTAGGCACTTTTCAGATAAGGATGGAGATGCATGATTTTTACAACTCAGTGAACACTGGAATCGAGTTATTTTTTTTCTGTTAAGTGCGATCCAATGGAGCTCTTGCAGCATGAATGATCGATTTAAGTACCTTCTTTTATGTAAAATTTCATGATGGATACTCCAATACAAACTCTCAAACTCGAAAAAAGCTTTCAAAGTTGAGGCCGTAACCCCACGCTACGCTGAGAGTTCACCTCTGTATCTAGTCAAACTCTCCGTGCACAGATATTTGTAGGAAGTAAATACATTAGCAGGGTTGCCGCGGTTCCAGCCCTAGAGCTTCTTAGAGTCCCTTTATACCCAGAGTTAAGACAACTCACTTTTGGTTCGGCTGAAAGTGGCCTAAAAAAAAATCCAAAAACTGATTGGTTCTCGCTCATGGAGGCCGAAACGAGTGCACCAAGATGGCGGTACCTCGAATGTGAACAAGAATAATGAAAATCTCACCTAATTGTGGTTTATCAAGAGTAAATTGTCATTTCCATCGGTCCAAAATGAAAAGAGATTAAGAAATTACTCACAAACCAATCTCATTTTCTTTTTAATTGATCAATTTGTTGATGTTGTTGTTTTTGTGTGACAGACATCGCAGGATTCCTGATCCTTACCCCTCAATATCGTTCGTTTGGGTGCACTCGTTTCGGCCTCCATGGCCAGCCAAGGCCGGCTGCCAGTCAGCTGATAATCGAGTTGTCTTAACTCTGGGTATAAAGGGACTCTAGAGCTTCTTAACAGAAGTGGCAAACCTGTTAATATATTTTCTTCGAATGAAGAAAAAAACACTAAGAAGTGGCCCGAAACCTGAATGTAATAAGGTGGAGAAATGGTGCTGGGTCCCACGAAATGGTGTGGACCCAGCACCATTTCTCCACCTTGTTATATTTTCTTCGTATCTGTGATTGGACAGTTTGACCTTCAGTGTAGCGTGGGATATCCATTCCATTACTATCGACTTTGAGAGCTTTTTTTGAGTTTGAGAATTCGTTTCAGAGAAAAGTAGTGGCACCATTGACTTTCTCGCAAAATTTTACACGAGGAGAAGTACTCGAATCTCAAATCCCTGACGTAAGCAAGAGCTCCATTATTTCGTTGCTCCTCTGCGGGCCGATTATTGAAATTGATAGACAAAGCTGTAGACAAAGATGACAAAAGGGATATGGAGGGGACCTATTGGTGCAAGCTGGTGGTTGCAATGGACAAAGGCAATAGGTATAGACTAACTAACGGCAACCCACGAGAAACCCGACGGTTAGTCCATCAATTTCTCCCCTAGTCTATGAGAACACACATTTCAACCAATAGGATCGCTCCGTTCCCCCCATGTCCTCTTTGTCTATAGCTTTGTCCATCGATTTCAATGATCAGCCCGCTGACGTAGGGCGCATCTCGATTTCGACATGAGCCCTGGAAAGCATGGAGTCGCATTTGAACTGCATTTTACAATTTGGACCTATAAATTTTGGCTCATCGGAAAAAACATTTATGTGCATAGGGAAACTAATGGCGCATACGTTGTTTTTAAACCGGACCGGAATTTACAGGTCCAAATTGCAAAATGCAGTCCATTTATGGACAACAGGGTTCACGTAGGAATCGAGATACGCCCTTACGTCAGAGGTCCGACGATTTGTGTGCGAGTGGGCTGTGGGAGCTCCGTTTTAATATAGATTCAGCTTGGAGTCTCCGTAATTTCTGAACGTTTCCAGAGTATAAACGCCATCTCGGGGATCATCAACTACAGTCTGGACTCGGCGAAAAGCCTCACCAACACCCTGCTCCGCCGTGATCTAGGCATGACCATGACCATGCCGCGCTACAACATGCCCAACCCGAACTCCTACTCGGCCTACGACACCTTGGGCGCCATGCTCGCCAAAGCCCAGACCGACCTGAACAACTCCTGGGATGCCGCCAACACCCTGACCAGGGACATGCGCCCCAACCTCTCCGACCGCGGACTGGCCATCCTGAACATGTACATGAGGGAACTCCGCACCTCTCGTGCTTCATACAACAACGCCCTCAGCAACGCGGCCGACCTCTACGCTAGCCTGTCCGCTAACCCCGACCTCAACGACCAGGACTTGGTGAACCTCCTCCAGGACCAGTACGGTTTGGAGATGATCGACTACGCCCAGCAGGCCCGCCGTCTCGGCAACGTCATCAAAAACAACGGATTCGACTTGTAGACTACCACCCAGGAGCAACTCAGCCCAGCGCTCAGCACAGTCAAGTTTAACTCTAGCGGATCAATGCTCTGTGAATTAAGTGAAATATAATTCCCCTACTTACCTTACTCTATTAGTTTGATTATTTCCATCGCATAGAGACGTCAAGAATGTTGTCGCATTTTTTGCTGGAGGGATCTTTGTCGAAATGAATTAAATCATAAAGAACAATGTGCATACGAGGACTTATCTGTAACAATAGCGGATGTGAAAAATTACCTTCTCGAAACACATTAAAAAAACTGTTTTGGCATCGAGAAAATTTTGAGAAAATACTTGAGATGTGATCTTCGAGATCTGCACATTATATCAGAGCCAAACATATTAAATTTTTGTGCGAAAAAAACGGTTTTTTAAGCGTGTTTCGAAAAGGGAATTTTTCACATCCGCTATTGTTACAGATAAGTCCTCAGATAGGATTTACGCGATTTGCAGTTTCTTGTGATTTAATTCTATTGTGCGTAATTTCATTTGGTATAAACACGTCAGCTCATAGTGATGAGCTACATACAAGAGACCATCCATAAATGACGTCATGCACTTTTCTCAAATTTTTGACCCCTCCTCCCCTATTTATGATCTCTTTACCTCCTTTAAAAGACTGCCAATCAATTAGGTCCCCTCCTCTTGATTTGCCTGCGACCTCTTTTATAGACGGACACCTACGGAATATGGAAATCAGCAGGGGTGATTATTGCAAGGTGGCAACTCTGTTATTCCTCAATTTAAATTTATGCAAAATAATCGATTCATAGTGAGGCATCGATATTTTTAATGTGTTCAAATGTATAGGAAAAACAGTTTTATCAAATTGGGAAATTGCCAATGAAATAGGATGACTTTAACCAGAATCGCAGTTTAACCACATAAGGCGTTGTCGAATTTTCTTTCACGTTGTATTTCTTTTACAAGAACATCAGGCCACATTTTGCAATACAATGTTTTAAGTGCACTCTTTATACCTCAGGAAAAATTCACGAAAAGTTTCAAGGCTTTGTGCACCTCACTTTTCCTGGAAAAAATAAATAAAGGGAGGACATTGGAAAACGTGACATGCTCAACTTACAGGCACCATCAGTTGCACAAGTACAACTTTATACAACCATAGCATAAATCGTTGATTACAGACAAAAAATTCGTAACATCATTACGTTTAACTTAGCGAACGGATCACTAGACAAGGTGCGAATGTAAACATTACCATATATCCTGACCATAATTTTACGTAGAGCACGATTTGCGAAATGCAAAATACCAAAATCAAGTCCTAACTAAGATGTTAACGTTTTTAGTTCACACTGGTTAAGGGAATTTTGAATTCCCTGCTCACAAAGAAAAACACGAGTCTGCCTGAATCAAATCGAGCTCCAAAACGGGGCTCAATAGCTGTAGCTAGAGCTATAATACTCTTAATGGATGTCTGTCATTCTTATTGTTGATACGTTGGAGTGCTTTCAATTTCGTATAATACTGTACAACACCTCTATTGTGAAATAGTGAAGCGCCGTGGCACGTAACACGCTGCGGCTAGGCCAGCTAACCAGCACGGAACGCGCATTGGCGCCTACAAACCTAAGGGATACCTCAAACATTGCGCAATGCGTGAAGTATCTGCTTAGGTTTGCAGGCGCCAGTGCGCGTTTCGTGCTGGCAGCACATCGTATCACTCCGCTTTATGCTAGGGTCTATTATTTAAACTCGCGGAGTCAGCGTTTTTCAACTCATGATTTGTATATGCTAGAGCTTAATAGCTAGAGCTCAATAGCTTGCATAGTTCAATCAAATTGAGCTATTCAAAGCGTTAACACCATGCAACAGCTGAGCTGAATCATCTAAATTGAGGTTGCCATATTTTCATATCTCAGAGATGGTTACGGTAACGGTCAAGCTAAAAACTTACCAACGTTACGGTAACATATAGCGCGCAATTTAACTCGCACAGATTTTTTTTTTTGGCGCGTATACGTAGTATACCGCCTTTGCGATCGTTTCGAACCCTGCTCGATACAATAACCGAGTCCCTTAGTTCCTTACCGAAAAGTGACTACCGCGAACTTCTGAGATTTTCCAAAGCGTGTAAAAAGTTTATTTATCCATCAATAATTATGATTTAAAGTTGTTTCTCATTCTGGGGGTCGCTAGTTTATGTGCAGTGAATACCAAGAGTCTAAGTTACTTGGTTTTTTTAAAAAAAGCCTAAGAATGCGACGCGCTGATTTAAAATATGCATATATAAGCAGAATCAAGCGAATTGATTCGAGGATGGCTGAGCAGGTCGGCACTCTCGGAATGAGAATCTAACTCCTCCGTTTTGTTCAAAACGTTGCTTTGACAGATCTGTAACCTCGGTTATACTTTTCAAAAGTTGGTACCCGTGCTCTGAAAAACCCAAATAAGCCAAGTTCGTGTAACTATGGTGTCGTTGCCTCGACCGGGCTGTGCTGTGTTGCCAATTGTTGGAGGATAGGTTACTTGCCCGGTGGTGGCTACCGCCACTCATGATAGTGCAATCTGTGTAAGTGCAATCTGTGATGAGCCTCGAGACTCATTAGACCATTAGCTAAACGTGGCTCATACAGGAATCCACTTACCCCTCTCTTCCCCACGCTCCTGATCACTGCGTCGGCGTCTCGACGAACAATAGCTAATGACGGTCGCCAAGCGAGGCCGGGATCCTCAGCCCCTCGCCCAATTACTTACGCTTCATTAACCATTTCACCGTCACGCTAGGATTCGTCCAATTTTAAAAAAAAATTGTTTCGCGAGTTTTTAGCAATTTTTTCCTTACTTTCCGTTAAAACACGAATTAAAAGAGGTCTCATTCATAAAAATCGGCCAAATAGAAGAGAAGTTACAGTATTCGAAATCCGAAGAAATCAACAAAACTTCTCCAAACAAAAAATAAAATGAAGGGGGAAAAAAAGAAATGTATAAATTACAATTTAATATGATTGACCTCAGAATGTGACAAGCAATTCAATTATAAAAAGGAGAAAAAATTGAGTGAAATTACAAAAAATTAGCCTCTTGCAAGGGGCTTTCTTGTATGAGTTTTGACCTGAAGACAAGTAAATCCCGTTATATTATTAAAACGAAATTGACTCCATAGTTTAATGCCTTAGTTTCTTGAATACGATTATTTTAAGCACTCGAAAATTTATACCAGCAATTTTACCCATGGGGTGATTTCCTGAGAGCTGATAATATCACGAATTTCTCATAGAGCCCTTCAAAAATGGCTTGCTTTTTGGGCAGCCGATTCGGCCATCAAACCGGGGTTTAAATGGAAGCTGATAATAACACAAAGCTCTGAGAAAAATTTTGAGATGAGTATAGGAACGGTTTGTAAATTACGAGGAGAGGCGGGCATTCTGTTCAGCATATCGATACATAAGTATTTTCACACGTAGAATTTAATTTTCACGTCAGGGAGTCGACATATTTTGATTTTTTCGATTTTATACGGAAAATTTATGGTTTTTCGGGATTGAAATTACTTACAATTGTTTCATGAAAAATGAATGCACCCAAAATGACTATAGCATTTTGACTTTCACATACGTGCACTCACTAAATTGATTGGTAAATTCAAAGAGTGGGTACATCGACCTGGTATATCAAGTTTCTGCGATTTTTTACGGCAAATCGGTAGATTTTCGGGATGTGGATTGCTTACTTTCAATTCATGAATGAATAAAGCATGGACATGGTTGAGCTTCTTTGCATGAAAAGACGTTTAAAATAACAAAATCAAGACATATTTAATACAATTGCATTTATATCGAGTCAATTTCTTTTCAATAATATAACGGGATTTATAATACCGGTGATTTGGGTATTTTAGCCCCAAAATACCTTTAAATCGACTTATCTTCTAGGAATTCGACAGAATTTTTCCTTTCTTCGCTTAAATTTTTCCGTAGCACTTTTCTTCAAGAATCTGATAAGATTTTGCTTGAGGCGGATCAAAAAACTTAAATTTGTTCGAATAGCTTTCTAGATTCACAATACACGGTCTCGTCAAGGTGCGTCGTTGACCTTCCAGTGTTGGATCGTGAATTCTCTTGTTGTGCTGCTTGCCTTTTTTGAAATCTCTGTAAATGAAAACTAAAGGGGTTGATATGTGCGAGTTAATGACGCGCCTTATCAACACATTGTGTTGGAGTTCACTGCTTGTTTTTTCAATTTTTTTCCCCCCATGAGCGGGAAGTTTGAATTTACGTAATGAAAAACGTCAAATATCTCGATTAGGAATTATTTCAGTAAATATCAGAATGCTTCAATTCGCATCTTGTCTAGTGGTCTATTATACATATCTAACGAAGGTGAAATACAATTCCTTTATTTGAAGTACAATGAGAGCCCAATCACCTTGTCGCAACTAGTATCAAAATGATCACATGAAAATATGAATGATGAATATTCGTTAGTTTCTTCCTGGAAGAAAATTTTCCCAGGAAAAACATAAAAGGATCAAGTCATTGCGTTTTTGCTTTGAACGGCAATATGGGTCAGATTCAACCAAATTTTGGCTTAAAAATTATATTTGGATTGCATTTTGCAAAAAGGAACCTCAAGCATTCCAATGTCGCTAAGATTGTGCAACTTTTTTAACTTGCAAATATGAACTGATCACCTAAACAAGTTTTATCTTTACTCCCAAAAACTATACATTTAATACAAAAATTACCATTGTAAATTTAATTTTTTGTAAGGTTTCAGTGACTTTTCCGCAAGGTATGTAAGTCGCACAATCCTAGCAACATTGCGGAATGCTCTTGGTTCCTTTTTGCAAAATGCAATCCATTTCTGGCTCGCCTGATCATACTATGAAGATCACTCAGAAGGTCTATTTTTTTATCAAATTTTTAAATTCTTTCTTTCTTTCTTTCTTTCTTTCTTTTCCATCGGTCAGTATAGTAGTAGAATGAGCTTATTTAATTCAAGGTCACATGCATGACAACAGCCGTGCAGTTAATCAAGGCCTAGACCAATGCGTCATTCCAATGGTCAAAGGAAAGCTCAGCTCTGCACCACACTGAAGTAAAAGTTACGAGGTGCATAGATATACCGTCCGTTCCGGGCTCAGGGACCGAAAGTTCAGGGTGCTGGGGCTATAGCCTCGACTGCGGCCTGCGACTATCGGCCTCTGCGCCCGGCACGTGGGCAGTATGTCTATATGACCCATAAGTTCGGCTCCCTTCGGCCGTGATAGCGAAGAGAGCCGTAAGTGCAAAAATGAAGTTTTGAGAAAACGGGCTCAGAAGCTTCTGAAAAGATCATTTTATTGAAAGAAGCCTCCGTTCTTTGCCAAATTGCCTGTAATCGTCCGGAAGACTCCTAGAAATCGTATGGATGATTAAAAATCGACTGATTTTATTTCCATTACATAAAAAGGGTATTTTTCATTTTCATGCTAGGTTATTGTTAGGCAAGACAGCCATAAATGCTATCTTCTGCATGCTTTCGTGGTTGCGTTTTGGACGCACAACAAACACATGTTCAGGTTAGAAATTGGCAGAGGAGGGCGGAACTTTATTGGAAAGCTCTGTTTTCATTGGCTTTCATACATCTACGGCTGTCTTGAAAAAAAAACTGTGTCATTTTTTGTGCACTTACGGCTTTTACATACGTCTCGTTTTCATTAAATTAGGATGAATTTTGCTGTTTTAGCCGTCTCAGTAATTTCACCTAAAAGAGTTGAGACGAATTTTGAAAAAAAACTCGATTTCGAAAATTTTGCACTTACGGCTCTCTTCGCTATCACGGCAGCCTTGGCTGGAGCTTTTTTTCGGTGCATGAAACATCAATCCGAGTTTCGTCGGTCCTAACACTCACCGTGGCGCTCTCTACATACTGAGGAAGAAACTAAACCTGAACTCGAACCGAAGTGACCGTCAATCAACCCCAACTTCCTCCCCGAGCTTTCGAGCGGATTAAAGTTCAACACGCCGGTGACGCCATCTATGCGTCTAGGGCGGCAGCAACGGGAACTGGAGAACGTCGCCTCGCGCCCTCCGGCGGCGGCGCGGGGAACCCGCCACGGAGAGCCCATTCAGAGAGAGCGTCAATCAATAAACTCCCACGTAGGCGAGACCGATGGGTCGCAGCGACCAGCGGAGTAGCCCTCCAAGAGATGACTCCGTGCACACTTAACGCATGAACCACACGGATAGTGCACTCTTGCGTGATCTAGGGCTCACGGAGAAAGGTCGATAGGGCGCGATCGACTCGCGCGGGCTCGAGCTATCGCTGCCGCCCTCCCACGTAAGTTTTACTCACCCTCACCCGCGCACCCCTCGTACGCCACCCTATTCCCTCTCGTATTACAGATTCGCAGTAACCCTACTTCCAGTCGGAAAATGTCGCCGAAATCCTGATGAAGTGAAGTGTCCTGGTGAAGTCGGTGCGTTTCAGTTTCGATGGAGCCTTCTCGACCCGGGGCGATGGCCAGGTAGCCGCGATGGTGCTGGAGACATGGTCGCGGGCGCGATGATGGATGACCAAGAGAAGAAAATCGTGGTCGAGTTCTGCCACCTGCTCGAGAAGTCCAAGCAGCTTTTCAACGGACTCAGGTACGTGGACTCCGTGATAAGCCCTTATCACTTACCTCAACATCGTTTCACCCCTTGAGGATAGTTATATTATCGATGGAATCAGATGATGGGGTCGAATCAACAAGACAGTGATTAGGGAGGTGATAAGATAAATGTATACACTTGCCCCTCTCATCGAAAAAAGCTCTTTTTCGGAAGTTTTGCTCGCTTCCTCCCAGTATACTGCCTCCGTGATGAAAACGGACACTTGATCCTCATCCTAGATTGGCCTGGAGCCATAATTAGCGGAAGATATCACCAAAAAGTCAACATGATATCAGATGATGACGGAATGACATCACACCGATGACCAAGCCTCATTTCGATACTGTGCTGATAGCATGTTGGCAACGCACCGATTTTCTCGAATCAGTATGGTGCGACATTGATATTAAAAAGATATCGATATGGAACAAGATTATAGCAGCATGATTCGTTTTACTGGAGTAATATTGCTCCGAATTCTTAAAATTGCCAAAGACCTAGTCACTGAAAGGGTTGCCAACGCACCGTCTAAAATTCCCCTACCTTATCTAAGAAGAAATTTCTACTATCATCTCGTATCTTATCGTGAGCGTTGTTTGAGATCATCGAATATGAACCGATAGACGGAACGGTGTGGTGAGTTGGCTAAACCAATATATTTTCATCCCACAGTTGTTACTCTCGTCATGTGTCCATCAACAAGTTCAGAGCCTCGTGAAATTGTATGGTAGTACACGAATGTAATACTCGAACAGTCCTGCCTTTCATCACGATCATCGATAAAATTTCTCGGCGCTTGATTTTTGGTCCAAACTGCAGGCAGTGCATAAATGCATTTCTGACCGTGCATAAATGCATTTCTGACCGTGCATAAATGCATTTCTGACCGTGCATAAATGCATTTCTGACCGTGCATAAATGCATTTCTGACCGTGCATAAATGCATTTCTGACCGGATACGATGCATTTTAGAGACTCTGCAATTCCCACCAAATCAATTCAGACGGACACGGACGAGATGAAAGTTATTCGTGAAAGTTAAGGTCCAAGAAACACAAGATGCGATGAACTGTGGTTACTTACGTGGTATGATTTCTTCTGTAGTAGAATGTTGTGTAGGTTGCCTATCGCCTAATTGAAGGGGCTCCTCTTATTGAAATTTATTGCGGTAAAATTCGAATAAGTTGCAATTTTTTTTTCGCACTGCGGCTTGCTCATCTTTCGTCCCGTCATCTGATCGTTTTAAATCGACATTTATTGGCCAAATAACGTGAAAGAATTAGGATGCCTTTGCAAGTCTATTTTAATGTTTTCTTTTCAAAATGCTACTTCGGCATTTTGAATCGCCGCAAAAATAATTGACGAGAGGTTCATCAAGCGTTTTTCTATCCCAAAGATGCCTGATATAAATATTGGGTTGACCAAGACAGTTGCTTGCTCCACAAGTTGTTTATTAATCGTCATTGGGCGGAAATAATTGTTGGTCCTCGAAAATAACTTTTGCACTCTGAAAAGACAGAGAGTGCGGTGTCTTTGAAATGTATTTCCTCTGTTCCTAACTCAAACTTTTAACCTGTGAGCATGTATACATGATTGATTAGCTCAACGATTCTTTTTGTTTACGTACGACTGGAATTTTGCAAGTTGTTGGTTCCGAATCTTAATCAATATCCGAAATATATTATATCGATTAATCCGAATTGGACTGACCAAGAGGGTGAGGGGGCGATTGCCCCCTATTGCCCCCTCGAACATACCAAAAGGACCAATTTTGGCAAGTTTTAACATAAATAAGAGAACCCATTTAACCGATTTATCGGAATCCCACTGAGGTATCTTTGAGCCCATTTTAAATTTTTATTTAGGTGTATTCAATTTTAATCATTTCAGAGATTCTGCAGCTGTGCGTGCTTTTGACGGATCTGACCTTTTGGTGGATCAATTAAAAACTTGAATTGTTACAACTAAACACAAAATTCATTTTAAAAAAACCGCCGCATGGTAAAGCCTAGATACTGCCTAACTTTAAAAATGTTAACTAAGACGGACTGATTCTCATTTATATTTATTTGGAACTTCCATATTGCTAGCCGTCTGCTTTTCACTGGTCATTTTTTTTAAAAAAAAAAAATAAAAAAGTAACTTTTGAATTTTTTTTCGAAAGATACGGTATGATCGTTATTCCACAAAACTTTGAACAAATTTTCCTTCGCTCTTTCAAAAAATTTCTCCGAAAATGTCCCAGTATTGTTCTTTTTTTTAAAAAAAATAAGAAGGAGCAAACATTTTGGAACACAGTAATGAAGAACCTTGTTTTTAAGTAGTTTGACATCAATATCCATTCTGCCGTGCTGAGGAAGAACGCCGTATGAACATTCGAGAGTCGCCGAATTTCCGCGTATAAGAAATGTACTTTTGAGGAGAGTTTGAATATTTTCTCCTGAAATTTCCGGATAGTTTAGATCTTATCACAAAGAAAATTCTCTAAGAAATTCAATGGAAAATGCTCACTATTTTTTCTGAAAATTCGTATTTAATCAAAGTAAATTTGGCACCTGACGAAGGTCCTTAGGTTTTCCCTTAGGACGGCAGCATTATCCATTGCATTTTCTGATAGAAACCCCGAAAAAAAGTGAAGTTGATGTAACATTCTGGATGTAAAAGAAGTGTGCGAGAACTTATAAAATAATGAATTACCCACCACAACGGTTAGTTTTACATCTTGCCATTGCTAAATTANGGGCCAAAAAAGGCCCTTAACGATACCCCTCCTTTGGCACCTGACGAAGGTCCTTAGGTTTTCCCTTAGGACGGCAGCATTATCCATTGCATTTTCTGATAGAAACCCCGAAAAAAAGTGAAGTTGATGTAACATTCTGGATGTAAAAGAAGTGTGCGAGAACTTATAAAATAATGAATTACCCACCACAACGGTTAGTTTTACATCTTGCCATTGCTAAATTAACTGCTGTAGAGGGTAATTCAGCTTTTTATAAGTTCTTGCACACTTTCTTTACATCCTGAATGTTAAATCAACTTCATTTTTTTTTCGGTGAACGTTCTACTTTCACCCCGACACAAAAATAAAGAGAAATTTCCCCGGAGCTTTGGCAACAGCGCCTCATAATGATAAGCGATGCCCTGACAATCGCACTGGGTCCGAAAACGAGCGCACTGGTGCACCGTGGCGCACCCCGACGCGCGTTGCGGAAACGGCAGTATTTGAAGCGGCTAATATCATCGCCGAGGGGGACAGAGGGGGGGGGGTCCTCTTCTCTTATCAATTACTTTGCGGGTATTCATAAAACATGCCCCCGCTGCCGCCCGAAATTGGTACTGTTCCAAGAGATTTCGCCGTTTTTTTTACTGCTGAGGGGTGATGGGGACGAGCCTTCTCTGGAGGGGCGGAGGGGGCTGCATGAGACGACACGAAACACATGCAACTGTGATGCAAAATGAATAAGCCTGGCTGTGGTGAGTCGTACGATGGGCTCGAGGATGAATGCTAATCAGTAGACAGGGGTCAAATTGGATCGAATTCGAAAGGAGGGAGCTGACCCACATACTAGGAAAAAGCTAGTTTTGCGGTTATTTTTAATACTGTCGTGCTGAAGAAGAACACCGTATGAGCCTTCGGACGTTGCAAAATTTCTTTCGATAAAAACCGAATTCACAGAGGAAATTGTGAATATTTTTTTTTCCAAAATTTTCAGACGATTTCGTAAGCAATTTAATCTAAAATATTCGAACATATTTTAAAGAAAAATGTCGTTAAAAATACATTATCTATCGAGGAGAATTTGGCAACTCTCGAAAGTTCATACGGCGTTCTTCCTAAGCACGGCAGAATTGATGTACAGCTTACACTCGGGATCATCACTTCCTCCAAAACTTCGGGAGAGGATGGACTCAGAAAAATCTCCGAAAATGACCTTTTGATTACTAATTGACACAAAAAACTCCCTATTAAAAGGTAAATGAAAGGCTGAAAGCCAAAGGTTGCAATTCAGCAAGTGTGTGTACATGAGACTAGCCGGGGTGCAAAGGGTTTTGAGTTTCGTTAAGTTTTCGCGGAGTTACCTCAAAATAACGCAAAAGTTGAACGGGTTCGAGTAAAATACAGTAGAAGCTCCCCTTTTCTCGGTTGAAGATCTTCATAGACTTGACGGGGTCGCTACCGCTCCTAGTAATGTCATGACATTTTCACCGAGCCACAAAAAAGCTTTACTAAATTTCTAAAGAAAATGTGCAACTATTCTTGAGGAATATCGGATAAATTATTGTCAAATGAGACGTTGGCTTGTTGCAATGCAATTTCACCCCAGCTTTTACCACTTCAAATCTAAAATTTAGAGGACGACCGGGCTCCTCCGAATAACATTTCTGCTCATATCCAATGAGACATATTACTTTAAAAGATCCATGATGAAATTTCAGGTTCATCCCCTTTAATAATCTTATTTTTACTTGCTCGCAATGCTCACTTTCCTCGCGGGTGAAGGAAATTGTCATCGTAAGAAAGAGAAATAAAAGAAGAAAATTGAAATTTCACCATTTCGACAAGGCGTTTTACAGTGCACAGAGTCAAAAAACCATACTAAAAAACATGTATGTCCAATGTCCATCCGTCAAGCGTCTCCTACTTCTGTGCACAGGCAATTCTCAAAACCATTCGTTCAATTTCATTCAAACTCGGCATGGAGGGCCTTATTGATCTATATGGTACCCCTCAGGGCCGGATTTTCCTACTTGCCGCCCATGGGCCGCCTGTATTTTTCCGGCCCCTTCTCATTCGTTTTGAAACATTAATGAAAGCCATCAAGTGAACGTGCCAGAGAGGGAAAGGTGCATGAGACGCGTTTACTCGCGTCGGTCACATTTTTTGCGAAAGCCCTGTCAACACTACTAGCAAAAGTTCAAGGAACTTTGCGCGAAATTCAAGTTTCATAAACCTATCTCTAATGGACAAGGCCTTCCATTCATAAGAAATGAACGAAAAAAATTATGAAAGAACAAACACAAAATTTGATTTAAAGATTCTAACTTCCGCCGTCGCGCCGCGCCGACCGCACCGTGTTTGGCGCAATGCGTGAAGTATTCACGCAGTCTTGTAGGCGCTATGCGTTTCACGCTGACCGCACTGTATTTGACGCAATGCGTGAAGTATTCGTGCAGTCTTGTAGGCGCTAATATGTGTTACATGCCGACCTCCGCGCTGAGGGCTTCTCCTTTTCATCTCAAGTCCTCGTCATCATTTCTCCCTAAGTCGCGCCGTTCCAGGCCAAATTGTGTGTTTGGTCTCTCTTTTAACTCGACTAATTAAAGGTGTTGTCTCTTGTATCGCTGAAAGACGACAAAATTAGAAATTACTATACTCTCAGGAAATGAGAGATCTTGTAGCCTTTTCTCGTTTGTAATTTTTTTTTTCTAAATCCGATTTTTTTTTTATACCTACATTTAAAAAAATTGCAAAATTTGCCACCATGGGCCGCGGCCCATGTGGCCACCCCTTTAATCCGGCTCTGGTACCCCTATGCACAGAAAGTGATTTTGGTATACCCTAAAATTTAGGGGGTCAGGAGCTACACATGATTTTTATTCAATTCACACGGAGGGCTTACTTTTTTCATTTTTATTATCTTCCAGAGATTTACCACAATACGGACACAAGCAATGGCAAGCCTACTTTGGTAGGACATTCGATATTTACACAAAACTGTGGAAATTTCAGCAACAACATAGGTAAGTTATAAGCCCTCTACGATTTTTTCATTGATTCTTCTGTCACATTAGTAACTTAGGATGGTTCTAATTATTGAGAAGAACTCCATACGAGGAATACGGCCCTGAGTCTTCGTGGACTGAGGCACGTTTCCCCTTGGACAGTCACATATCGACGGTGTAAGTCGGCAATCACATAACTCGTTTGCGGCGTCTGAAAATCTCGGCCTCCATGTTATTCTTTTAAAGGAGAACAAATTGACATCATTCCTCGAAGTTTTTGCAGAATCTCCTTCGCACCGAGAAGAAAAATCACGGCAGCTTTAAAGAGTTGCCGTTGTAAAAAATAAAATATGACAGGAAGTCTGTCGAGTTATGTGATTGCCGACTTGCACCGTCGATATCGCCATTTGTGGCAACTTCATATGTGCCACATAGCATAGCGCTCTGGACCGAATCCATTATCTTAGCAGATAGCTCACTTTAAACCTCTGATTGAGATTGCGCCCTCTCGCTGAAAGCTCATTCTTGTTTGGCGAGGGTGACCATGGGGGGGAGGGGGAACTTGCGAAGCCGTGCGTTTCTGGGAAATGTAGGTGGCGACTGAAGCACTGGGTTGAGCAGGCGCTCTTTCATTATTCACCGATCCCATTGTCTCCGAGCCGAAAGGGCAAAAGTCCACCCATTGTCGCGGCGCAGCGGATTGAGAGGATCTCCCGGCCACCTGTGGATTGCGCCACGACGAGCTCACCTTTCCACCAACAGCGGCCAATCCACAGTGTCAAATCGCACGTGTACACTACATTTGAGGACAAAATTATAAGCACCTCCCACTGAAAAAAAATCTCGGTGTATTTACTAAGAAAATGGTAAAATTACCAAGAATTCAGGGTTCTATTTGATCCCAGTTTTTTCTTGGTAAAATTACCATCTATGGAATTGGTAATTTTACCGAGAAATCTCGGTAAAATTATTGAACTTTCTCGGTAATTTTACTAGACCTTGGTAAAAACGCCAATATTTTTTATCGACTGCGGTAGAATTACCGAGATAAAATGGCAAAGTTACCAGGAATTGATTACCAATAAAAGTGGTATTCTTACCTGAAAAAACAGTAAAAATACCGGGTTGTAGGTAAGTTTACCAGTCTGTCTTGGTAAAATTACCAATAATTGGTAAAACAAAGTGAGATGGTAAAGGTACCAACGGACCTTGGTAAAAACGCCGAGAATTTTTTTTCAGTGCACCTCCCCATCCAAAGCAGTGCTCTCATTTCCCGAAACCAGTTCCGAATACGGAACTTTTGAGATTTGACTGGATTTTTCCCGGAACTTTTGAGATTTCTGAAATGTTCCGGATATTTTGAAATTCCCGGAACTTTCTCGGAACTTTTGAAAAAATCCAAAAGGAATCCCGGAACTTTTAACGATCCTGGATGGAACAAAAAAGTTCCGAATTCCGGGACTTTTGACGGACATGGAATGGGAGCACTGCATCCAAGTCCCTGGTGACGGTGTATGTTAGTATTCCTACACTGCTACTGCTACCTTCCCCAAAGTGTTTAAGTTAAGTTTGGCTTAGAGATAAGATAATTTGGACGTATTTCTGCCAAACGGAACAATGTGCATTAAAGCATGAGCCCTGAGACCCATAAGAATATAGGCATGACAGGGCTCACGTCATAATGCACATAGTTCCTTTTGGCAGAAATACGTCCATTTAAAGACTCACTCTGCTAAGGAACGATTGTAAGACCTATGATCAGGTGCTCGTCAAAGTGGTTTGAGTTGACCAGACCCTGACCAGAGGTAGGTGCGTATGACTCCCGGTTTTCTTCAGGTCAAGTCCCGGTCAACCTTTGTTCTCTCTCGCAAACCAGTAGTTAGGCTGATTAGCAGATTAACTGCTGATCAGACTCTGACCACTGGTTTGGTGACCAAAGGTTGACAAGAGATCTTACAAACGGCCCCTAGAGATAAGATACTTTAAAGACTCACTCTGCTAAGTCCCCTCATTAATGCTGCCATACACCCCTGATAGTGCCGCTAATTCCTCGAAATTTCTGGTGCTGCAAAAAAACTCTAGACGGTAAATTGCCCATTTAGGTCGAACCAATACTCATACTTCCGATGAATAACTACATTTGTATTTACAATTTTGATGACCTCTCACAAGGTAAACTCCTGGCGTGTCGAATAGCAAAGAAGAGAAATGAAATATCCATGCCATCGAATTACATGAATTTTCAACGGGCGTTTTTCTAGCTAATTGAGAATACGTCCACAAGCCATGCCAAAACATCCATCACTTAGCCATTCTTCGCAGAAATAATGCATAAACTTTGAAGTGCTGCAATTTAGTGTGTAATTTGCAGTGGAACGATTCAATAGCCCTGGTAGAATTTGTCCCCGAAAATCTTTTGTATTTTTACCTACTTTCCCAAAACAATAATTTGGAGGCGCGTTTATTTGATTTGCTACGAACTAAATATATACGAAAATTTGATTCAATTTGAGCACCGCACCGTAGCGAAGCTTGTTTTTCGTTTCTGGAAAAAATGACTCAATTTTAAACCTCCAATTGGCCTAAATTTGGCAATTTGGAACCACAATCCAGAGCTCGATTTCGAAGCGAAGTTGCACCATTAATTTCCCAATGCATTAATAGTTTTAACGGATGAGCCGGAAATTGTATTTCCTCAAGGCAAAATGAAGTCCAATATCTTACGCAACGTTACTAATATAGAAAGTATGTACGTAATGCTGCATCTCAAAATTATGAAGGCGAACTGAAAGCCGTTATGAAGATTTCCGTCCTCCATTAAAGTGATCTTCTCCAAGTCGGTATTTTTAATGCGTGACATGACGGTGGTCTGGCAACGATGTTTTACTGATAATTGAGTGATGGAATAGGCGCCGGATACTAAAGGTATTCAAGCTTTTAGAGACAACCAACAATTTATTGTCACCCACCCCTTACACTCTGTTTTTAACATTTGTTGACAACTGCGATGATTCAGTGACCGATTTGATTCTGAAGAGATGTGTGATAAACAGAATGAGAAGTCTCAGTACCGCAATAATGATCGAGTAGATTATTTTGTATATTGTATTAGTTTTAAAATATATATGGGGGGGGAGGGGGTGCACAAGTGATTGTGAATTGACCTTGAGGAAAACAAAGTCGTTTATGCACTGTATTATGAAAAACTGATCTTAACGGGCATTTTTTCCGGTCCCCTTGTACATGAATTCATGTAAATATACCTGCTCATAGCGGAAATCTGATGTTAACGGAAAACTGTATCGGTCCCGTGATATTCTGTTATCAGCAGGTTTCACTGGACTGCACTCGGCGTTGGAAAAATAGTATATTACTAGGGGGCTACGCCCCCTGTCCGCTACGCGGCCCAACCCCCTGAAGGCGCTTCGCGCCATCAATGGGCCGCTTCGCGTCCCTATTTTTACCCTCTTACCCCTTATCAATGTTGATTTTATTTTTCCCCTGACAAATTACGATATGAGGTATACTTTACTTTTAGAATGAAATAATTTTTGGTTTTGATGAATAAAGAATTTTTTTTTTTGAAGTCAAAAGGACGCGTTTTGGAATGACTGCTTGATGAAATATTGCAGTAAAACAACGAACAATGATAATCAGGTAATAATTAAATTAGTCAGGAGTCGGGGATCGGACCCACACTATGATTCACGTGGACGCATCCGACGTCTTAGAAGACTCGGCCACCGCTCATATGAAGATGCTATGCGTGAATTTTGTGTAGATAAGTATAGAGCTGGTGCGCAGGCTACCCAGCTACTGCGCAACCTTCTCGACCACTGCGCATCCTCCCGCGCATAGTGGTAGCAGTCCCGGAGCATTCCGTAAATTCACTCAATTTTATAACGTGATTTTAAAGAAACCTGGGTCCTATTTCCAAAATCTGATTAGAGCGGGCTCATCTAGGGCTTATTACCTGTCGATTTACGCAAAAATCATAGAAATCGGCCCGGTAGAACGCTCAAACGAACTATGACAAAAAGTATAAATTTACAGTGTTTAAATGGGAGAATTCGCAACTTTACCACTTAATATAAAAAAACCTGGGCCATATTTTGAAAATCTGAAAAGAGTTGGCTTATCTAGAGACAATTGCCCGTCGATAGCCGCAAAAATCATTAAAATCGGCCCGGTTGAACGCTGGAACTAAGCGTCACCAGTTACGCAAAATTAGGAGGTCTTGGAGCTTATATATACAATTGCCCGTCGATAGCCGCAAAAATCATTAAAATCGGCCCGGTTGAACGCTGGAACTAAGCGTCACCAGTTACGCAAAATTAGGAGGTCTTGGAGCTTATATATATGTATGATGATAATAATTGAGAGGCTTGTAGGACAAGGTGCAGGAGTGTAGTTTTTGAAAAAATTGAGATATTAATGATTTCAAGTGAAACTAGTCTTAATGCATATTCAGTGGAAAATTCGCTCCCAACTTACAATTTTTAAGCATAAAAAAATCCGTTTGAACTTCCTTTCCGCCCTACGGATCCGCGTAATTTTGAAACCTCAAACACGTATTTCTCTGAATAGCAAAAACTGCACTTATGCGCCTTGTCCTCCAAGTCCCTCAATTTTTGTTATTTTAAAAAGTTCTACATCACTTATCGCCATTCCACAGACTGATAGCTATTTTCGACTAATTTTACAGGCAGAAGGAAGACTCTTTGACACCGAGAAAGATGCATAACTTAAGATTGCAAATTTATTGACTTTAATAGTAATAATGAAAAAAGTTATTACGTCCATTTTCTATACCTTAATTCTCTGTAAGAATCCTCATCGACTGAGACGCGTTGAGAACTGGTACGGTAGTTTGCTGCACTGACCGATAAATGTAATTCTCGTATGAGAGAAAATTAAACGCATGAATAAGCGGCGTTATACATGACCCTTCGCTCATACAGTTTTTCAAAGAAGCATCCTAACGGCTAACGCTACCGCGAGTTCATAGTATCATCAAAGAGCTATGATAACATGTAAAGAGAAGCTTCAAAGCCTTTTACATGGCAGGTTATTAACCCCCATCTAACCTTAGATCCTACATACTTAGTCCTAGTTGGTTCTAGATCAGTTTTTCCTCACATCGAAAATGTGGTTGATGCATATGAACGAGGCTTCCTGAGAGGCAAGAATGCAAAGCAAGCGAAAAATGAATCAGCATTCGATCAGAAACTTTTCTCCGTACATTTGTCCGGTATAATCAACTGTAGCGTTAAATATTCGTTACTAATGCATTATTATGAAATACTGTGAAATAATCGCTTGAAAATCTGTTGTCCCGTGAAATTAAAATTTTCTCTGCAAAATGAAAAAATGAAGGTTACTAATTGCAAAATTAATGATGAAACTCAATTTTGCTCCGTCCCCCCCCCCTTGACCTTCTTGCCCCAATGACCGTCTTTGGGAAGCATTGGGCATTAGTGGGAAATATGGATTCTCTTTAAAATCCGTTCACTGAAAGGAAGTATTCTGGATATGTTCTACATTTCAATACAGGGTGTCTCACGAAAAACGAGCCACCTTGAATATCTGCCGAACGCGTCGGAATTTCGAAAAACGGTAAAAGACGTGTTCGTTTATATCGAGGAGGACACCTTTTGGCGTATTCGACATTTTCCCAAACCGCGGGAGGGGCGCGGGGCGGGGGGTGCCCCACCCGTAAGT